GACGTCGAATTTACCATCCTTCGGCATGGCCCACGTAGCCTCCATGGAAACAACTCGTCCAGGCTCTCGTCGTGCTCCTCCTCCGCTTTGACATCCGCCGCTTGTCGTTCAACAGCGGGTGGTGACAATCCAGGTGGAGGTTCAGGTTGCGCAGCCGGCGGCGCCTCCTCGGGCTCGTCTGCGAGTCTCCTGGGCGCATGCTCCGCGGGATCTTCGGAGCCTTGCGATCTTGCCGACCGCGGTCGCTTGGATATGGCGCGATGCTCTCGCCTCCAAGCGCCCATGCCTGGTAGATGAGGTCCTCCAACATGTGGTGCTCGGGGCGCCTGTTCCTGGATGACATCCAGCACGTCCGGCTCCACCGTCAAAAACTGCACGAGGTAGGATGCGCCCCAATCTTTCTCGTCGAAGATCTGTCTGAGACTTAAGTGTTCCGAAGCCGCTCCTTCGCCGCAACGCATCGCTTCCACTCCGGCGTCTCCTTTTCCTCGCCTTCTCTGTAGCCGCCAACGCATAGTTTAAAATTCGAAGTCGCGTAGCCCAGGCAGCGTGGGCACCTTCTTACCAACACGGGCCGCTACAACTCCATTGAGATGCAGTCCACATGATGCTACCTTGAACATGGCGGCCACCACGCGCGGGCACTTCATCGACGTATTGGTGGACGTCAAACCGCTTGAAGTATTCGCCCAACCCAAATGCTCGAAACCCTCGCTACTGCCGTGCACAAAAACGATCAGCGTCTGCGCGGGGTCGCTCTCGCGGGACACGAAGACCACCGGGTAGACGAACGAAATCGCCCTCCTTGCGCCCGTGGCCTTGATGGCAAGATCCCTGCCCTGCCAGTTCACGGTGTGCGTGCCCGTCTCGGGCGCCGCCGCTGAAACCGCAGCAGGCGGTCCTGTCCAGTTTGGCACATCTTTCGGAGCCTTACCCGGTTTGTAGAAGTCCACCAAGTCGCCGATCTCGAGCTTCAAGTCTTCCAAGGATCGTGCTGCCCTTGACTTCGTTGCCCTTTCCATTTGAGCTTGGGCTGTCGCCTCGACGATCGAAGTCGCAGCTATTTCTCGAAGTCGCTGCACATGTCGAAATGGCCATGCCCTCTTCATCATCGCGTTCTCGAGCTCCACTTCTGTCGAAATCTCTCAGCATGAGGGGGGCTCTTCCGTGCAGCGCCTTGTATGGTGTGCCCTGACCGATAGTCAGAAGCGCGTTCTTCACATAGACTGCCTCTGCCAACTTCCTGGCGAACGATGCGTTGATGTCGCTCTCGCGGCACTGGGCGTCGATCAAATGCAACTGCTTCCTCGAGATCTCATGGCGTCGCTCGACCACCTGAGCATGCTGACCCGGGGCCTTCAGCTTTCTCGTAGTGCCCATCCTTCCAAGAGCCACTCCACCCTCTGCAGTTGCCATGGCCCCTTCGCCGTCGACCGTCAGCACTGCCATGGGTCCGGACATCTGCATCCAGCCCGCTCAGATGAAGTCCAGCAGGTCCTCGAGCGTCTTGGCCGTTAGTTCGCGCGCGACCGTGAAGCGGACGCAGCCGTCGCATAGATGCCTTATCACGCGTCGCTCGTAGTACAGCAAGTCCATCTACACCTCGCCGTTGAACTCTGCACTGATCTTGATGGTGGTAGTTGGCCGGTTGCCGCCCTTCATCCACAGCCTGCAGACTCGGCGGGTGTCCGTGATGTCGTCGACCATCTGGGTGACTTTCGGCGGCGCCCCTGCCGCGGTGAGCATGCGTTTCATAGCCGTCTTGTTGGCATGAAACCATCGTAAGTGTAGTCGTCGGAGTACTCTTCGAGAGACCGCCTCGTCGTTCCCGAGCAGCGCCCGCCTCGCGGAACCGAGATCCCAGCTGGACCAGTCGCCTTCCATGCCTTCATCTCCGTCAGCTGCTGGTGCAGCTGGTTGAACTCCTCTGCCATGTACATCCTCAACTTCGACGGCTCCATCAGGTCGAGGCACTCCAGCTCCATGGGCTGGATCTCGAGCAGCAGCTCGAGTGGGTCGACGTCCTCCTTCAGGCCGAGGTGGTCCGACTTCAGTAGCCCATCTGCACTGTCCCGCCACCAGAGTACGTCCTGGTGCCGTCTCTGGCTGTCCTCTCGCGCACTGCTTGCATCTCCATGTCCGCACTCCAGGAGTAGCGATCCGAAATTATCCAGAAATTCGTTCGTGAATGTGCGACACGAGCACCATGCCCTGCAGATCCATTCTCTTACTCTTGCCAGTCTGCTCCTCGGTCGTAATGGTGTCTCTGTCAGTGGTGCTGGGGCTATATTGCCGGCTGCCGCCGATGGTGATGCCGTTGTGCTGGATCTGCCGCCGGCGCACCGGAGTCCGAAGTCTTGGATCTCAACCTCGTCCTCCTCGCCGGCGCCCCAGGCGCCGGATCAGCTGGTGCCGCGGGCCTCCACCAGTCTCCATCAGGTCCGTGGCATGGGTCTTGCTCGCCGACTGGCGCTGCTGCAGCCGCGCCTGGAAAGGCACTGGTCGACTGCAGGCAGTGCAGCGCGTCGGCGTTAGCCTTCGTGGATATGTAGTCCGCGATGCCATTGGCAATAAATATCGCGAACGCACAAGGCCAAAACCTCGCTCTCTCTGTCTCACTTCTTCCTTCTATCGCGTCGTGTTCGTGGTTCGTGTCTTCCGTCGCATTGAAATTCCGCAGCGTGTTGGATCAAGAATTCGTCTGATGTCCAAAGCTCTGTTCTCTTTCTAATCGGAGTTCCTTTTGTGTTAGTCACTCCCACCATGCACTGATCAACCATGGCGTGCACCACCCCAGGACATGCAGCAACTTGTCGCCAAGGTGGTTCGTGATATAGTTTAGAACCTGCAGTTTTCTCATTCACAAATCCGCGTCCGTGTCGAAGTTGATGCAGAGCCACTTCGCCACGAAGAACCGCTAGAGGTTGGCACTTCTCGTAGCTGTCCCACCAACTGTCTCTCGCATTGTACATGTTAATGCTGGAGAAGCGGCCGCATGGTGCGCGCGGCGGTGACATGACCACGACCATCACTCCACGCTCTAAGTATTGCCATAGTGTCCATTGTTCATTCTCGTCTCTGAGATGAGTACCGCGTATGATACCAAGGTTGGGACCAACTCGGCATTTTCGACGAATGCAGATCCTGCTTGCGCTGCCTCTTCCTCCACAGATCTCCAGAACGTCCATGCTCGAGACCGATTTCTCAAGAAACACCACAATATGAGAAAGGCTAGCAGCTCTACGAACTCCAGGACCTTCATTCCAGGTGGCTCCATCGTCTTCTGCAACTCCTCGCAGACAAGAAGCGAAACAAGATTCCTCGTATAACGCCTCGCAGAACAGCACTAACTCATCGCCGTCATCTGAGCAGGCCTCGTAGTCCTCGTGAACAACTAACTCTGTGCTCATATTGAGGCCGCTGATGCTGTCGCCGCAATCGTCGAAGTGATCTTCGATCTCGAACTTCCTCTTCTTCGCCTCCTTCGGCTTGTCGACCGGGGTCTTCTTTTTCGCGCGCATCCTGGCCTCCGTCGGGTACGAACTTCCATTCTTCAGGATTCCCGTAGTATCTACCTTGCTGTTACTCGACTCTGGTGGTGAACGGTGACCCTCAAGCTCGAGGGCGTCGTTGATCTTCGTGAACATCGCCACCAAGTAGTGTGAATTCTGCTCTTCTCTCTGTTGTCTACGTCGATCGTCGCCTGATGAGCTCTTCCAGTCGTTCACGTGCTTGCGCCCTAGACCTTGACATGCGCGTGGTCTCGCTCGAATTGGGAAGGACGACTGCGCGCGGTCAACTCTGTTACTCCAACCTCGCTCACCGGCTTCATCGGGAAGAGACTGCACTTCTAAAGAGCACCAATGGATATCAGCTTCGTGAGGCACTTCAGCACGAAGTCGTAGTACCGTTGGGTCTGCCCACATAGAGCTGCCACGTTCAGCAACTAACATGACAGCTCCGCCTCCAGCTACTTGGCCTCATACACACTCCGCAAGACTATTTAGTCGCTGTTGGGGTCGCTGTCCTCGTTCAGCTCCTCGTCGTCCTGGAAGATCTGCCCAAAGTAGCTGGAACTTACCTTCCGTGAGTTGCCGCTTCAAGTCGCGAGCCTCCTGGCCGAACACTTGGTCGTGGGCCAGCACCTGAGACACTGGCCAACCTCCTTCGCGTGCTGATCGCATCGTAGTGGCCAACCCGAGTCGGTGATCAAGAACTTGAAGTTGATGCGGCGCCGCGTCTTGGCGTCCAGCAGCTGCTCCTGCCGCTGCGGCAGTAGCCCTGCCCCGTCAGTTGAGCTCTGGGGCCGCCGCCCAGTCGGGCGCCTCCTCGAACTGCGCCTTCTCGCGCGGCACCTTCGCCTCGCGCTGCTCCTTGGCGTCGGCAATTAAGTCCAGGCGCTCCGGCCTAGGCTGCAGCTTGTCGATTGGATATCCCGTTCCCCTGGGAGAAGAAGCCTCCACTTCCTTGAGTTTCGGACATGGTAGTAGCCAATGCCCACGCCGCGTCGCCCTCAGTTTGTAGCTCTTCGTGCCAGCTGGTAGCTCCAACTTGCGCCGTCCCGGTCCGCACAGATGTAGGATGCCCGGTCCGCACTCGATGATCGCGTCGGGGGCCTTCAGCGAGCTATTGCCGAGCAAGGCAGGCACGTCGCTGTTCGGGATGACCGGGGCCGTGTGCGAGTTCATGGTGCCGGTGCCTTCGTCTTCCTGTTCGATCTCCTGCGTCCCGATCGACATCTTCCAGCTGGCATGGCAGTAGTCTGGATCTTTTCCGACTCCATCAACTTCAAGAGGCTCCCGAAGTAACGTAACTTTTGTGGGATGCCCGTGCTGTGCTGCTTCGTCCGCTTGTTACTTTGCCCAGCTCTCTCCAGCGAGGTTGCCCTGTGCGCCGTGGTCTATCAAGATGCCCATCGTGTTATTGTCGGATCTAGTCCTTTCGTGTCCCAAGTAGTGTGTCTTGCACTGAGTATCCAGTGTCCAAACAACTCCATGGAATTAGCTGTCACCCTTGTCTGTGAAATCAACTCTGCGTTGTTCGTCATGACCTTCACGTTCGATCTCATCCTGCTCGACCGTCTCCTCGTCCTTAGGTATTCGGGACTCCGTCTCCTTCATGTCGTACTTCGTGCCCTCAGCGCAGTCCTGAACCTTCGCGCAGCCGACGCTATCGCCGTCACCGATGAAGTGCGATTCCGCACCTGGGTCGAGCGTGGACAAGTCGATCTCTAGCTCGACCTCAATCGCGGGGTTCTCGGCGTCTCCGGGTGCTTTCTCCACCAAGTCTCAGCTGGCGGAGGTCGCCTGCGTCAAACTGCTCGGCGGCGTAACTGCAGTCGTCTTCGGAGGAGCCGATGCGAAGACCAGGCCGCCAATGCTGAAGGAGTCCTGCTTGTCCCGAAGATGTCGGAAGCCGTAGGTGTCGGCGCCGATGCAGCAGCCGCCGGTTGGAGACCTAATACCTGCGGCGGCACTGGCGGGCTCAAAGGCTTCGCCTTTGCGACTTCCGACGCCGCCGATATCGCCGGGAGACCTAGGATCTGGTCTCGGCCGTAGTTCGCGCCAGCACGATCGAGCCCAGGAACCTTCGCGATGCTCTCGAACGTCGGGACGTTCATCGTGGGAAATGCTGGGCCTCCACTCTCCGAAGATGCCGAACCGCTCGAAGCTGTCGGTGCCGATGGAGGCTCCCAAGAAGCATGTGGCGTTACTGCTGTGGGTCTAACTGCGTCATCTCGTGCATCTTCTTTCGCAATCGCAGTCCTCGGCTGCGCCAGTGCGATCGCGACTCCAGTGAAACATTTCGCGCCCGCCACGCTCGCGCTGCTCTCCAGCGCCATGGGCACCGCGTTGTCCGTCGCGAAGAAGATGACTGATCCTGCTCCGTGCGCTGGCGTCGCTGAAGGTGGCCCGCTTGGTGCTGAGCCAGTGTTGAAGCCAATCCATGGTGCGCCAGCTCCTGCTCCAGTAAGCGGCCTCGCACCATCGGTGATGAACGAGCCGCCCTTGCCCTGCTTGCGCGGGCAGTCCTTGATCAGGTGGAACTCGCTCTCACAGCCCTTGGCCATGCACTTCACGACGTTGCTGTCCCGGCCGATGGGGTTGAGCCCTTGCGGGCCCATGGCGAAGTTGCCGAGGGTGGCCGCGCGGCGTCGCACAACCTCGAACCTACTCAGCGTCTGATCGATATTCTCAGGACCGCGCCTGGTGAAACCCAGCCAATTCTGCGTCGCACGCAGCTCGGACTCCTCACCCAGCGGCGCGAAGGACCTCGAGAGCACGAACCCCGAAAGCTGCTCTCACCGTTCCCGTCGCCCAGGTCCACGAACACACCGTCACGCAGATGGCCCTGTGGAAGCTCACGCGTCAAGCTGTGGGCCGCTCCGCCCAGGCGCAGCGCGACCGCCGGGCCCGGTTGCTCGGGCTTGACATCCCGAGCTGCCGCCGCCGCCCACGTCGTCACATCCGTGAGCCAGAACCTGAACGGGTAGGCGTTGTCCTGCTCCGGGCTCCAGGCTGGCGGCACCTTCAGTGAGCCCAGCACTTCGAACTGCAGGTGCTCCATCGCGCCGATGGAGGTCTTCGTATACTGCGTCTTGCGACGCTCCTTGTGTAGTCGTGCTCGTGAGAGCTGAAGCGGACGTTCGTGAACTCGGAGTTGTCCTGCTCCGCCTCGGCGGTGACAGACTCCGTCTTGTGGATCACTTTGGTGATCCCGTCGATGCGCAGCGGTGGCGCTTGAGCCCCACTCCCGCGGACCGAGGCTCCGCTACCAAGTCGAGAGGAACCTTTTCCTCTCCGCGCCGGCACGCCGCCAGCGTCAGTACATCCTCCGCGCCCTCGGGCGCAGGCCGCGCCGTCGCGCGCAGCCTCCTGCGGTGGGCCTTGAGCCAAGGCAGCAGCAGGTCGTCGTCGGTGACCTGCACACCGTCGCTGCCCAAGCTCTCGCCCCCCACGTCCCACCCCAGCTTTTCGACTTCCTCCTCCTCCTCCTCCTCCTCCTCCTCCTCCGTCCTCCTCCTCTCCTCCTCCTCTCGCCTCTCTCGACAGGCGCTCCCCCTCATTCCTCATCTTCCTCTCTCTCCTCGTGACGGGCGCTCCTCCTCATCCTCCTCCTCCTTCTTTTCCGTGGCAAGTTTGGCTGAAGTGATCGTCCGCGACAACAAACGGATACTGATGATCCGCGGCAGCTTTCGTTGTCATGTCCCTGTGCATCACAAGTGCAGATACATCCTTTTTTCGCTCCCTATCGAGCTTCGCGATGTGGGGCGGCCTCAGCATCATGGTTCCTCTTGGGCGTTTCCTGCTGCTCGCGAGCGGCCTGGTGCAGCTCGGGGGAGGATCGTCGCAGGAGGCTAAAAGCGCGGCCCTGGGGAAGGGGTCGAGAGCTCCAGGGGCCAGCGGCTCCAAACAAAGAAGTCGATGGAGTCTGGGTTCTCCCCGTCTGCACGGGGCGTTTTCTCGTCCTCGTCCTTCTACCTCCTCCTCCAGCTGATGATCCTTATCTCCGTCCTCCTCCCTCTGCGCTTCCTCCACCTCCTGCTCCGTCTCCTCCTCGTCCTTCTCTTTCTCTTCCTCCTCCTCCTTCTTATTTGTCTCATCCTTCTTATGCTTGTTCTTTTTGCTCGTATTCCTTGCCACTGCGATCATATGTTTTGTCTTCCTCTCGCAGGCTTCTTGCAGGCTTTTTGTCTTGCAGGCGATCAGCCCTCCTCCTCATCCTCCTCCTCCCTCCCTCCTTCGTTCCTCCCTCCCTCCCTCCCTCCCTCCTCCATTCCTCCTCCTTTGTTTTTGTTGTTTCTTTCTCTATCTCTCTCTCTCTCTCTCTATCTGTGTCTCTCTCACCCTCTCTATCTGTGTCCCTCCGCCATCCCTCGCTCTGCCCGTTCTACCGCCTCCGTTCCTTAAGTTTTCCCTCTCCCCCTCCTCCACCTCCTTCTCCACCCCTTATTCTTCTTCTTCTCCTCCTCCTCCTCCTCCTCCTCCTCCTCCTCCTGATTCTCCTCCTCCTCCTCCTCCTCCTCCTCCCTCTTTCTCCTTCTCCTAGCATGGCTCGCACACCGAGCACCAGCATAGCTCCTCCTCCTCATCATCATCATCAGCATCAGCAGCATCATCAACAACATCATCAGCATCATCATCATCGTCAGCATCAGCATCGTCATCGTCACCACCACTACCATCATCATCGTCATGACCTTCATTGTCACTCCCAACTACCTGAGTATCACTACAGCCACCCTCATCACCATACAGCATCAGCCTCATCATCAGCAGCAAACATCACCATCATACTTCATCGCCGTAGACATCATCATCATCATCATCAGCAGCAGCATCATCAGCATCATCAACGTCATCATTTACCATATTCACCGCCACCGCCATCACCCTACACTAGCATCACCGTTACCATCATCACCATACATCAGCCTTGTCATCACCAGCTTCTTCGTCATCATCATAAGCATCTCCTCCAGTATCATCATCATCATCATCATCAGCATCGTCATCATCATCATAACCAGCATCAGTATCACGACCGGTGTCATCATCAAGATCACCATCACCATCAGCACCATCACCATCGCAATCAACATCATCATCAGCATCATCATCAGCATCATCATCATCACCATCATCATCAGCAGCAGCATCAGCATCGTCACCACTATCACCACAATCATCAGCATCAGCCTCTTCGTCATCATCACCATCACCAGCACCATCATCACCAACATCAGCATCATCGTCATCACCATCATCATTATCATCATCATCATCGTCATCATCACCATCACCATCACCAACAACATCATCATCCTCATCATCACCATCGTCGTCGCCATCATCAACATCGTCATCATCATTACCACCATCATCATCACCATCATCATTACCACCATCATCATCACCATCAGCATCACCAGCATCAGCATCACCATCACCAGCATCATCATCACCATCATCACCATCACCAGCATCACCATCACCAGCATCATCATCACCATCATCATCATCATCAGCATCATCATCATCATCATAATCGTTATCATCAGCATCATCATCATCATCATCATCATCATCATCATCATCATCATCATCATAATCGTTATCATCAGCATCATCATCATCATTGTCACCAGCATCAGCATCACCATCATCGTCGTCGTCATTAGCAGCAGCAGCAGCCTGTGCCTTCCCGTCGTGCTCCGGAGGCCTCGCAGCCATGGACGCCACCCAGTTAGCTCAGCTTGAGGGCTACTGCAACAGCATGTTCAACGCCACTTCACAGGCGGAGCGCGCGCAGGCGCACCAGGCAGCGGGGGACAGGAAGCCCTGCTCCTGCCCGCTCCTCCTACTTTTCTCTCCTTTCTCTCCTCCTCCTGCTCCTCCTCCTTCTCCTCCTCCTGCTCCTGCCCCTGCTCCTCCTCCTCCTCCTCCTCCTCCTCCTCCTCCTCTTCCTCTCTTCCGTAGCCATTTGTGCTCCAGAGTCTTCTGAGTGCACATTCAAGCGGCTGTCTCGTGGCCCCGTGGTGCTCCATGGGCATTCCGTGGTGCGCTGCGCGATTGAGGAGGCGGCACGTCTCGCGCTGCACGGCCGCAGCCTCATGAAGGCGCAAGTCGCGCAGGCCTCCCCACCAGGGGAGTCACCAGTTCCTCCTCGAAGTCGAGGCTTCAGGATCGAAGCTCGAGGAGCTCTTGTACGTTTGAGGTTGTGTTGGAAGGCTCTGGGGTGCTCTTGGGGGTTCACTTCCTCCAGGAAATGTCGTTCCCTCGAGGACGCAGCAATTCCAGGTCTCCCAGGTGGGGTCCGAGCAGATGGGGTCGGAGGATCGCGCCGCATCGCCGATGCATCGGCGATGCGGCTCGATGCGGAGCCCGACTTTCGCCACACCGGTGTCGCCGATGCATCGCCGACGTCGCCGATGTGTCGTCGATGCACCGTCGATTGATGCATTGGTGAGGCGTCGGCGGGGCGCGATTCTCCGGCCCCATCTGCTCAGACCCCACCTGGGAAGCCTAGCGTCGCCGCGTTCTCGAGGGAGCTCCAATTCCTGGAGGAAGTGGGCCCCCAAGAGCACCCCATAGATTCTTCCAAGACAGCCTCAAACGTCTAAGATCTAGTGGTGGCCCGCCTTGGGACTGCCCGAGGGGAGGCCTGCGCGGCTTGCGCCTTCATGAGGCTGTGGCCGTGCAGCGCCATTACACCGCCACGGTGCTCCATCGCCGCCGCCGTCCGTGCCCAGCTCCGCGCAGGGCGTCCCCGTGGTGGATCCAGCGCTGCTGTCGAACGCCGCGCCAGCATGTGCGCCCAGGGCCGCTACGCTGAGGGCCTTGGAGAAGGAACCATTGGGCCCCCTAGTGGTGACCCGCCTCCAGCAACTGCCCAAGTGGTGACCCCCCGCGGCATTGCCCCATCCCCTCTGGCGTCAGCGCGGGCGGCACCTTCCGCACGGCGCTGGCGGGCGGCCACGCGAAGGCGAGGCCCCCGTGGCCCGCGTGAGCGAAGCTGGCGGAGCGCTCGGCCGAGCGGGCGGCTGGGGAGGCGGCCAGCGTCCAGCAGTGGCCGTGGAGCTGCAGCCGTCGGAGCACCACTCGGGGGCCGTGAGTCGGCCACGCGCAGAGGGGGGTAAGGGTCGACTAGACGTAAGAGTGACCCTTCGCTGGAGTGGCATTTGGTGCGGGCCCATTGGAGTCGCCCGCTCGCCGAACGCGATGCGATAGGAGCGTCTTGCGCGCTTGTGTTTGGCCCCCCCAAAAGGCCGCGCACCAAAGGCTCCTCTTACCCAGGGCTACTCTTGCGTGTAGCCGAAAGGGGAGAGGGGAGCTGGCTTCTTAGAAGAACCCCTGCTTCGCAGAAGCTGCGGGCCTTGCCTGTAGATGTGAGGCCCGCACGTTCCAAGAAGCAAGCTCCTTCTGAGGAGCCTAACCCCCCTCCCCCATACCCCTTTGCGCGCGCCGCCAGGTGAGATGCACCGACAATGGCTGTGTCTATCGGCCCCTCGAGGGTCAGCGGATTCCAGCTGGTCTCCAGAGCGTGCAGGACACCCTCAAGAGAGTCCAGGCCTCAAGCAGCCGTGAGTCGGCCCGAGCTCGACGATAACATATGGAAGCTGTTGTTGGGCCATCACGATGTTGCGCCCCATGCTGGGCAGTGGCGCAGCGGCTGATGAGACGGAGCGCTGGAAGCACCCAGCCTTCGGAACTGCGCGCCCCATTGTGCGCCCATCAGGCCAAGCGGGAGTCCGCCCAGCCGCCCGCGCCACGGCAGTCGCGGCAGCCACGCAGGCAGGGCACCGACATAGAGAACAGGCTTTAGAGCTGCGCGTCGAGCTGCACGAGTGCGTGCAGGGCCTGACGGAGCTGCAGTCCGAGCTGCCCGAGGCGGCGTGGCGGCGGGGGCTCTCACACGACACCTCCGCGGGCGCAGTGGCGGAGCAGCTGAGGCAGCAGCTGTGAGAGCACGTGGTGCTGATGGCAATGGGAAGCACGGCTGCGTGCTGAGGTACGGCAGGTCCACGCAGGGGCTCGGCGCCGCCACCGTGGCCACGAGCGTGCCGAGGCCAAGGCCACAGGATCGGCCCTGGGCGAGCAGGGCGGCAGGACGCGGAGGCCCTGGGACGGCGCAGCTCCAGCTCCAGCAGGGGAGAGGCGGCTGCCGAGCGTCAAGCTCTCGAGGCTACCGACGCGGCCAGCGGACGCGCCGGTCGTTGAAGGCAGGCGTTTGTGATCTCCAGATCCCAATCGAGTTCGGGCGCCTTCCCAATTGAACAGTCGAGCGGTGTTCTCCCCTTCATGAGGGGGCCGGCGGAAACGCAATCTACTTCCAGCGCCTTCCTACTTCATGTTTCTACCCACATCTTCCTGTTCATCATGTCGCTCGCTTCTGTCAGCAGTGCTTGCGGGTTGGGGGCCTGAGGCCGTTGGCATCCAGGCAGCTGAGGCACAGTGCTGGCAGACCGTCGACACAAGCAGCGTTGCTGGCCCTGTTTCCAATTCTTGCAATTTGGACGGGTCACTGTCCCGCCTCCCTATGAGACTGGGCAGCCGCGTCTCTCTCTTTCTCTATCTCTCTCTCGAGTCGACGAGGACGCCGACGTGCGTGTGATGCTTCGATATCCAGACTCAGGCCAGCGATTTGGCCTCCGAGAGGGGGCAGCTTAAGCATGTGGCTTTGGAGCTGCATGCTGGCGGGGCCGCGCGGCAACATGCGCAGTGGTCCGTCGCGGAGCCCAGCGATAATGATACCAGCCTGGAGGACGAGATGGCGCCGCTCCAGCAGCAGGGCGCCCAGCAACGCCTCACGGAGCTCGATCCCCTCCTCGCTCCTGAGATGTGGCTTGCGCTGAGGGCCCTGCTCGGCAGCTGCCGGCGTCGTTACGGTTGTCTGCGCTCCGTTCGATGCGTGGTCATGAGGGCCGCGCTGGGCCAAGTTCCTTCGGCCCTAGCGCGGAGGAGGAGGAGGAGGAGGAGGAGGAGGAGGAGGAGAGCCGGCTTGTCTGCGCCCCGTTCATTACCCCCCGTATTTATTTGGCCGCGCGTGCCCTGCAAGGCCCGAAGGAGTGCCACTCGACTGTGATCGCTTGCAGTGGCATTTTTAGCGGGCCTTGGCTTTGGTGCCGAGACAGCCACTGCGTTTCCTGGAGTTTGGATGGGCCTGTTCAGGCCACTTGCTGCATGAAGAATGCAGTGTCGCCTCCAGCTGGTGCGGGGCTCCTCTCATCCTGTATGTCATCCCTTTCTCTTCCTCCCTTGTTTGCTTCTTCCTCTTTTTTTTTTTTGAATTTGTCTTACTCTTTCTTTCTCTTCCTCCTTATTTTTCTGATTCCTCCTTCTTCCTCCTCCTGCTTCTGAATGTTCCCTCTTGTTCTTCTTTGTTCCTCTTTCTGCTGCTGGTTTCCTCCGGTTATCCTCTTTCTTTTTCTTCATCCTCCTTCTGCTGGTTTTCCCTCCTCCTCCTCCTCCTCCTTCTCCTCCGTCTCCTCCTCCTCCTCCTCCTCCTCCTCCTCCTCCTCCTCCCGCTCTTTCATCCTCCGCCTCGCTTCTCTTCCCGCCAAATGATATGACATTCGCCTCCATTTACTCCTCCACATAGCCTCTTGGGGACCACTTGTGAGGTCTCTTGGAGGCCTCTGGGGGCATCTTGGCGGCTTCTTGGGCCGTCTTGGGGCCAGCTTTGGCGTCTTGGGGGCGATCTTTGGTCGTATCGGAGCCCTCTTGGGCCGTCTTGGAGGCCACCTGGAGCCTTCTGGGCCCGTCTTGGGACCTTCTTGGGCCCGAAAAATCATGCGACAAGCCGCGGGGGGGGCCCAGGGGGCACGCGGGAAGCCCCGAGGGATTTCGGAAATTGGTGTCCGGGCCTTTTTAGAGAGAGAGATTCCTCAGGACTGAGGACTGCGGCTCCATGGATTAGGCAAAGGACCTGCGGACACGCCGACTCCGTGACCAGAGGCACGGTGGCGGAGAAGTAGAGTAGGTCCGAGTAGAGTCGAGTAGATTCTAGCAGCGTTGATGGACTAGGGTAGAGCAGAGCAGAGTAGGTTAGAGTCTGCTAGAGTAGAGTAGGGTAGGATTGGGTCGGGTAGAGTAGGGTAGAACAGAGCAGAGTAGAGTCGGGTGGATGGTAGAGTAGAGTAGGACACAATAAAGTAGAGTAGAGTGGAGTAGAGTTGGGCAGGAATAGGTTAGGGTAGAGGCAAGTTAGCCAGGCCGAGCGAGTCAGAGGGCTCCGCCTATTCCCACCCTCTCCCCCACAACATCAGAATCAAGTTTGACACACTTTAATCTGAGGGTTGGAACGCATTCCCATCTCGCAAATGGAAGGCGTTCGGGCGCGGTCATGCTTCCAGCGACTTGGCGAAGGCAGGATGTGCGCACTGTCCCGCTCCGGCTACGCATTTTGCAGCGTCGACGCCCGAACGCCCATGGTGAGACGAAACACATGGACTTCGTAGTGCTCTTTTGGCAGGACGGATGGGGCCCTCTGGAGGTGGCCCCTATCGGCTGGCTAGGTGGCCGCGTGGGGGTAGATTGTCGTGGCCTCTGGCCAATGCCATCGATCCGAGGGGGGCTGGATGTCTGTGCGACACCGGAATGTCTGGCTAGGTGGCAGCGTGGGAGTAGATTCAAGAGGTTAGCGCCATTCCGCCGACCCTCAGAAGAGGAAAGAAGTCCACGGATGAGCCGTTTTTGGTGCCTTTAGGGGAGTCTCTGGAGGTTGGGTGTTTCTTGCGGCGTGGCAGGGACACATCACCGGGGACCAACGAAAACACCATTTGAAGAAGGGGAGTAGGTCGGTGTGAAAGGACTGCGCAGAGAAAGGATTCACGGCGAGATCTTGGGAGACGTTTGGATGCTCGGGCCCATGTGGCAAGAGGCTTCCTCGGAGCGCTTTTCCTGAGCGCGGCAACAATTTCGCTGTCCTCGCCCGGCAAGGAAAATTGAAGTGCACCAAATATCGCACCCTGTGAAAGAGAGGTGGGCGCGATGCAGGGGGGTGGCGTGAAGCTGAGGCAGCGCGTAGGAAGGAGTGTGGATCAGTGTGCTTTTGCGCTTTCAGTGGGTGCGTTTTCGGGCCTACCGAGTTCGAGGGTTTGCGGGCCTGCCGGACACTGTCCAAGAGTATGGTCAACGCGTGGGTTTGCGCTCGAAGATGGAAAGAGGGCCAGGAGGAGGAGGAGGAGGAGGAGGAGGAGGTGGAGGCGACGAAGCAGGAAGCGAGGAAGACAAGGAACATGTGCAGGAGACGGCGGAAGAGGAGACGGCTTGCGAATCGGCCATAGGCGCTGTGAAGATCAAGAAGGCGAGCCTTCCGAAAAGGTGCGCTTCCCCGAGGAATGGGGGCGAGTTTTATTTCTTTGGGCCTTCGCGGGGGTCCTCTGGGAGTTGGGGTTTTGCGGGGACTCACTCGGGCGCGTTCTGGCGGTCTCTGGGGGGCGCCGTGGGCCGGAGGGCTCGAAATCTCATTGGGAGTGGGCCTTCTCGGATGCCGCCTGGGGCCCTGTTGGGACCACCTGGGGCCGTCGTGGTTGATGATTGGGCCGTTTTGGGGCCCTCTTTGGGGTGTCTTCGGCCGTGTTGGAATGTCGAGCAGTCGCGAACGCTGTGAAGACCAGAAAGGCGAGCACTCTGAAGCAGATCAGTCCGCCAAGGGATTCGGGCGGTTTCTGTTTCTTCGGGCCTTCGCAAGGGGTACTCTTGGAGCCCTACTGGGACGGCTTTGAGGGCACCTGGGCTTTGCGGGGGCGCAATGGGGCGCTTTGTGGCCGTCTCTGGGGGCGCCGTGGGCCGCGGTGTTCGAGGCACCACTGGGAGTAAGCCCTCTCAGGCTCCGGTTGGGGCTCTGGTGGGGCCATCTGGGGCCGTCGCGGTTGATTATTGGGCCGGTTTGGGGTCCCCTTGAGCCGTTTCGGGGCTCTCTCTGGGGTTTCTTGAGCTGTCTTGTAACGATCTGGAGGAGTTGTGGAGCAGTCATGGACGCTGTGAGGACCCGAAACGCGAGCGCTCTGAACAGGTACGTCTCCTGACGGGATTGGGACTATTTGTGTTTCGTTGGGCCTTCGCTGGGATCCTCTTTGAGCCCTACTGGGGCGGCTTTGAGTCCGCGTGGGCGGTCTGGAAGCCATCTTGCTCAGTTATGGGCTCTCGCCAGCGTAGTGGATCCGAGCTGAGGTGGTATCTTGGGTGTCTCTGAAGGCGCGGAATGTAGATTGAAAGGCTTCGGAGGCCCCAGGGGTGCGTTCGTGAACTCAGGGGCTCCCACCCAGCCACCCCAAAAGGGGTTGTGAACCCTAGGGGGGAGAAGGGGGAGGGGGACAGCAACATATCTCACACGCAGTCTCACCCCCAGCAATCGGGAGTTGGCGGATACCAATAAGAAATCAGGATAGGTAGGGTAGGGCAGGGTGGGGTAGAGCATAGCAGAGTAGAGTAGGGTAGATGGTAGAATAGAGTCGGGCGGAATAGAGTGTATCAGACTAGCGTAGAGTAGAGTAGACTGTATAATGTGAGAACAGACTTGGGTATGGTAGGGTCTAGTAGACTAGAGTAGAGCAGGTCAGTATATAGTAGAGTAGAGTCGAGTAGAGTAGGGTAGATGGTAAAACAGAGTCGGGTGTAACAGAGTAGGGTCAAGTAGAGTAGAATAGAGTAGAGTAGGATAGAGTAGAGAAAAGTAGAGCATATTATAGAGCAGAGTAGAGGAGAGTAGAGTCTTCTAGAGCAGTGGAGAGATCATTCGAGTAGGATCTGCGAGGATCGGAGTAGAGTAGAGTGGGGTAGGTGAGAGTAGAGCATTGGAATGTTATGATGTCTTTGGAGTTTGCGTTGGCTGATCTCTTCCTCTTCCTCTTGATGCTGCTCTTCCTCCTCCCCCTCGTCCTCCTCCCGAAGGGGTGGGCGGGGGAGGACGGGAGGGCTGAGATGGCGGAGGCGCTGCTGCCGCTGACGCAGAACCCACAGTGCGTGCCACAGCTGCAGTTCGTGCTGGCCCATACCTCGAACCCCCACGCGCTGATCTTCTCTGCGACGGCCCTGACGAAGCTCGTCACGTCGCACTGGACGACGGTGTCGGACCGGCAGAAGGACCGGGGAATGCCAACCACACGCTCACACCAGTCCTGAACAGGACAATCTGGAGCCCAAGATGGGCCTGGCCAGGATCGGTGTTTGCGTATGGTGGGCGTCATCCTGAAGGAAGAGATGAGGACCTTCCTTTTCGACTATCTCGCAAAGAACGGCCCTGACCTCTGTAAACCATCGCCTGATCTCGGGCCTCATACTGCTCTCCCGCCTCCTCCTCCTCCTCTCTCCGTGTTCTCCGCCCCCGCCTCCCTCAAAATCGCTCGTCCGACGTTTCCTGGAACGCGCACGGGGAGAGAGGGAGGAAGGGGCAGGCGGAGCTGAGGGATGAGGACGTCCTTCTCCTCCTCCTCCTCCTCCTCCTCCTCCTCCTCCTCTTCCGACGACGGCTACGACGGCTACGACGAGGAGGGGGAGGAGGAGGAAGTAGAGGAGGAGGAGGAGGAGGAGCAGGAGGAGGAGGAGGAGGAGGAAGAAGAAGAAGAGGACGAGGAGGAGGAGGAGGACAACGACGAGGGCGACGACGACTGGTCAGACCGTGCTTGCATCGGTAGGGGCGCCCACGTGACCTGCTCGGGATGGCCTGACCGCGTGGTCGGTCGCGTGGGCCGCCCCGCCACGCGATCGCTGGTGCGACCAGGAAGGAGGAGAGTGGGGGAGAACACGAGGACGCAGGACGCAGCATAGAACGTGCGCAGGATGAGGAGGAGGAAGACTGTAGCCATTTTGGCTCAAGTTGCTATTTATTAAGGCAGCTGACCAGATCAGAATTTGCAGGGAGTGTAGGTTGGTGGTGTAGCCTCGCCCTCTCTTGCTTCCGTTTCCACCTGCGAGCTCCTGGCGGAACAGTCACCGCAATCATGTGGGCACAAGCGTGCCCACCAGATTGAGAGAGAAGGTGCCTCGAAGGACACTTGAGAGAGAAGGTGCCGACATCCATAAGTGGATCCATGGGGGGGAAGACGCTATCCAACGTGTGGGGGAAACGTCTCAACAACAGGTCCATTCAGCTCGTGGAGGTGCTCAACTCCCTTCGCCTGACCAGCTCGGCATCAATCTACAGGCCTGGTCGGAGGTGCTCGGGCAGCTCAATGACCAGGCCAAAACGCAGTTGGTTTCGAATGATCTGGAGGTCATCAACTCTTTCAAGGGGACTAACCAGTTAGATTTGCGGCTGCCACGGACATAGCCACGGTACCTCTTGAACCAGTAGGTGCTGTACCGCTTGAGCCCTTGAACCCGCAATACCAGCTTCGCCCGATGTGATGGCGCTGAGCTCGATGATGAGGACATGGACCAGGACCAGGACCTTCAACAAGTTGTCCAGGAGTTTTTAGAATCCGCTGCCGAGATCCAGACAATATGCAACATGTTCGTGAGAGATTGGTTTGGAGAAGCACACACATTCCCACGTTCATCCCGCAGATCTGACCAATCTGCGGCCTCTTCTGCCGGAGAAGAAGAGGAAGAGGAGAAGGACAACGGGGAGTAGGAGTAGGATGAGAAGGAGGATGATGATGATGATGAGGAGGAGGAGGACCAGGAGGAGCAGGAGGAGCAGGAGTAGGGACGAGTGAGGAGGAGAGGGGGCAAGTGAGGAGGAGGAGAAGGAAGGAAGGAAGGAAGAGGAGGAGGAGGAGGAAGAGGAGGGACGAGTGAGGAGGCGGGGCGAGTGAGGGAGGAGGAGGAGGAGGAGGAGGAGGAGGAAGAGGCGGAGGAGGAGGAGGAGGAGAAGGAGGAGGAGGAGGAGGAGGAGGAGGAGGAGGGGGGACGACCAATAATACTAGTAATAGTAATAATGATAATAGTAATAATAATATGACGAGCAATAGTAATACTCATCGTTTTAGTAATAATAATACGGCAACTAACAATAAGCACAGCATTAAACGATTCATCATAGCAATATTATTATACATATAAGTCATAGTCATACTCGTACCACTAAGACAGCATATCCTAATACTACTGGTCATAGCTCTTAATGAAATACCTGCAATAGAATAAGTATGCAACTCGTAAGATTAATCATAGTGTCTGGAATAATCATACTATGACGAACGATAGATGTAATCATACTACTGATGCTAACACTAATGCTCGTACTACTAAGCCTAGTTATAATACGAATCATGAAAAATAGTCCCACGGATGAGAATGATACTACTACTAATCCTACCTTCAATACTACCATCAATAGTGATAAGCGGAAATGTAATACTACTACGAATAGCATTAATAATACAACTAAGAAGAAGACGAGGAGGAGGAACACGATGAGGAGGACGAAGACGAGGAAGAGGAGGGTGAGGAAGAGGAAGAGGAGGAGAAGGAGGAGGAGGAGGAAGAGGCGGAGGAGGAGGAGGAGGAGGAGGCAGGGGGGAGGGAGGGAAGGCGACGACGACGGATGAGGAGATTGTTGGCAGAAAGAATGCGAGCTGGACCGGGTCTGCAGTCGGAGCCGCGGGGGGCGGCAGCCCGACGCCGAGGCCCCGACCTCTACCGCAGCGCCGCCATGGCGGTGTCGCCCGTCGTGCGCCTCTTGTGCCGGGTCGTCGGGGAGACGATGAGGAGGACGAACACGAGGAGGATGACGGATGAGGAGAGGCAGGAATGCGAGGAAGTCGGACGGCAGGACGCCGAGAACCGCAGCGGAGTCGTCAGGAGGAGGATCAGGAGGAGGAGGACGGAGGAGGAGGACGGAGGAGGCAGGAGGAGGAGGAGGAGGAGGAGGAGAGAGGAGGAGGAGGAGGAGGAGGGGGAGGGAGGAGCGCAGGAGGGAGGAAGATGAGGAGGAGGGGAGGAGGAGGGGGGGGGGAGGAGGAGGAGGGGGAGGAGGAGGAGGAGGAGGAGGAGGAGAGGAGGAGGAGGAGGGAGGAGGAGGAGGAGGAGGAGGAGGAGGAGGAGGAGGAGGAGGAGGAGGAGGCGGAGGAGGAGGAGGAGGAGGAGGAGGAGGAGGAGGGAGAGGAGGAGGGGGAGGAGGAGGGGGAGGAGGAGGAGGAGGAGGAGGGAGAGGAGGAGTCCGGAGAAGGAGGGGGAGGAGGAGGATGAGGAGGAGCAGGAGGAGGATGACCAGAGTATATCGAAGATGCGCCAACGATGCTGCAACATACTCTCTGGTCCTATGTCCCCTCCTCGTATGACCCTACAGACCTTCCTCATCCTTCCTCTTCACTGCAAGAGGCGCGCCCTTGAGAGACCAGCAACCCACAGGCCTGCCATTCAGGCGAGAGACCCGTTTTGAACTGGAAGTCGTTACATCTTTTAGCGAGTATTGTGGAATGCGACAGAAGGTAATACAGTTCAGCGGAGTGTCAAGCGAGATCCCGTTCGACAAAACGACCGCTCCCATTTGTGTAATTGCTGCACAGGTGTTCTTCTGTGGTCATGGACCTCGTGGAATCTCAAACGAGAGCCCCATTTTGAATAGGAGGCACACTCCATCCGCGATGCTGTTACATGTGTTTAAGCGTCCGATGTTTAAATCAAAAAAGCTTACGCGAAACAGCCATGTTGAAAAGAAAACTGCTGCAAACTGTTGAAACACATGGGCGCGGCGCCAGGGCGAGATACTTATTCTGAAAACCGTTACCCCTGCATATTGAAACCCGCTGCATCGCGCACGTCGCTGAGGCGAGAGCCTCATTTTGAAAACACCCCCCTTCTCCATCCTTGCAGCTGTTGCGGGTTTCGAGTGTCGGGGCCATGAGTGGTGACGAAGCCTCAGGCGAGACGCCCAGCCCGCCCTACCGACACGTCCTGGGGGTTCGACTGGGGGGAGTCAACTGCAAGGAAAAGATGGGTGAGCGCAGGAAATGGCTTGCATCCTTCAGACATCTCAGAGGAAGAATCAATTTTCATGGATTCCAGATTTCGTTCAAGAAAAACCAGACTTGGACTGGACCCTGGGCGTTCTCTTGGAGCTTCATTTCTTCGTATCATGTTCGTATATCTGGACCTGGACTAAGAATGCGCTTCGAGTAAAGTCAAAATTCGGACTCTCAAGTGTCTTAACTCTAAGCATGGGTGTAGGACACCAGGATAATCCAGACCATCCCGCAGCGTCAGCGCCAGGAGGAGGAGGAGGAGGAGGAGGAGGAGGAGGAGTGGCAGTAACAGGAGGAGGAGGAAGAGGAGTAGGAGGAGGAGGAGGAGGAGGAGCAGGAAGAAGAGCAGTACGGTCGGTTCGCGTCGTGTCGACCGGCGGCGACCCTGCCGCCGGCGTTCAACGTGGAACGCTGTTGGTGACCCAGAATCGGTTCATGTTGAACGATCCCCGCGGTGTCGGGAGCCAACGCCGAAGTCGGCACGACGCGAATCTGCCGTAGGAGGAACTCTTGTTTTTCGTTCTGTCGCCTTTCGGTCCTCCTGTGGGTGCCCTCGTGTCCACGGCTTGATTCGCCTCGGGATCCTGGTCAGATCGCGCTTCAGGAGAGATCAGTGGGGAGACCTGGTTCCGGAATTATCCAGGTCGTCTCCCCCTTAGTAGGCGCGTAATGGTGGGGCGATAGGGGGTGGGGCAGCGAGGGCTGCCGAAAAAGAGGCCCTAAAGGGGCCCTTTAAGGCCCCAGATGGGGCCTTCAAGGTCGAAAAGGGCACCGTTCTTCCCCCTCGTACATCGCCCCCCATTTCATTCGCGTCGAGCCCCCTTTTCCTCCTTGCAAGTGTCCCCCCCTTCCCTCTGACCTCTCCTGGAGCACGCTGACCAGGGTCTCGAAGCGAATCCAGCCTGGTCGACGGGGGCCCTCCTGGAGGCACCAAATGGCGAATAAATAGAGAGCAGATATCCAAGGCGCTGAAGCACGAACGGTTTGGGTTCGGAAGGGGCTCAATGTTCCTTGGCTGTTTTTCTAGCGCTCCTCGTCCACGCAGGCGCCTTCGGGGTCGAGAAGGGGCTTCGTTCCTTATGTAGCGTTCCTTCTTTCAGCAGTCCGACTGTAATTTCCCGCCCTCCCCTCCTGAGGTCATCAAGCTCGCGTGGCTCGAGGGACCGCAGTACCAGAACGTGACAGACCGGGTCGGTCAGTTTCTGCAGTCTTCTCCGTTGCACTGGGTCCTCGGCTTGCAGATTTACACGGACCTCACTGCCAGCACGATGCCGCGCTTACCTCCCTTCCGCTCTACTTTCCTCCCCACTCTTCCCTCCTATTGCTCCCTCCCTCCCTCTCCCCCCTCCTCCCTCCCTGCATCCCTCACTCCCTCCCATCCCTCTGAGAATTTCCTCTCCGTCTTGTGCCTGGCATTCCTCTCCCTTCCTTCCACCTTCTCCCTGCCCCCCCTCCCCTGCCCTCTCCCCCCTTCCCCATCCTCTCCTCCCCCCTCCCCGTCGTTTGGGTGTGTGGAGCAGCAGTCGCAACCGTAGGAGGAGCACTGGGGGACTCCAGAGCAGGAGCCGGAAGGAAGGATGACAAGAGGCCACTGCGCTCCAGCACTGGCTGGCTGCCCCCGTCTGGTCTGCGCGAGCGGAGGTGGGAGCACGAGGAACAGTAAGAGCAGGAGGAAGAGGAGGAGCAGGAAGAGAAGGAGACGGAGAAGGAGAAAGAGGAGGAGAAGGAGAAGGAAAAGGAGGAGGAAAAGGAGGAGGAAGAGGAGGAGGAGGAGGAGGAGGAGGTCTGTAGCCATTTTGGCTCAAGCCATTTTGGCTCAAGCCATTTTGGCTCAAGCCATTTTGGCTCAAGACCAGCTCGCCCAAGCAAGCGGACGCTTGCTCTCGCACCACCAGTAGAGTCATTGTATGCCTGCCACATGGCGTTGCGGGAAATGCAGCAGAGAGGTGTCTATGAGGCACTGGCAGTGCTTGTGTGGCTACAAGCGGCGACAGCGCTCATACAGTCGACAGAGAGCGAGATCGGCGAGTCGGAGCACACGAGAGCAACAACAGTCGACAGTTCAGCCGACCCCGCCATATCGACCTCGCCCGATTAAAGGACGCACTGGGCCAATCACAAGAAACGAGATTCGACAAGTGGTGGACTCGGTTCCTACGGCGTCCAAGGCAGTGGCGGAGGCGCATCCAAAGTACCAGCAGCCACCGCCCAGCAGAGCGCAGCAGGATGCCTACAAGAACGACGTCAACCACCACATAGAGGTGCTCGCGACATTGGTGGTGGCCACGCGGAGATTTGGTGCAGAGGATCAACCGTCAATCGAGCACATTGCGGTCCTGAAGTATGCGATCGCAGCACTGGATCCAATCAGCACCAGAATGGCGCAAACCAAATACGAGATCGCGATGACCACCGAGCTGATCGAGAAGCTAGATCGCAAGGTCGAGGAGCTTCAGACGCAAAGAGAAGAGATGGCACAGAAAGTATCAGGGCGAATTGAGAATATGCAGGACCTGGAGGCCTTCGGGGAGGAAGAGAAGACGTTGAAGCAACAAGAGGCGGCGGCGCACAATGTCACCCCACCGCCTGCAAGGCCAGAGGCGGCATCTCCTTTCATGGCCACACGGTATGGCTGCGGGACCGTCAACAACGGCATGGCCGACTCCACAGATCCAAGTCCAGAGCCCATTCGTTCCGCAGCAGCAAGATCCAGCAGCTCATGCAGATGTGGATGCAGCAGCAGGCGGCGCAGCTGGCCAAAGGAACAGGCAAAGGAGGGACGTTCATGCCATGGCTGGCCTCAGGACCTCCACCGCCATCGCAGATGCCACGTCGTCCATCGTCGAGCCCAGGTGCGAAGAGAGAAGGACCAACTCACCCGCCCAGCGAACAGCCCTGCCTCAAGCACCAGGTCAAGCAGCAGGAGAACGAAGACGACAGGATGGTGGACGCGGACTTCAGCGGCCTCATATGCGAAGGCACCGCGACCCCGTTGCCAGCATCGCAGACGGCGCCAGCAGCATCGGCATCAGTTGGAGGGGTTCTGACAGCGCAGCAGATTGCAGAACTACAGAAGGCGAACATCATGCAGCCGATCATGGTATCTCAATCGGACCCGTCGCAGGCCTTGTACCAGAGGGGTGCCATATAGGGACCAACGCAGATGTGGAGCAACCCGAACAGCCAGCAGCAGGTCATGTCTCAGTGCTCACAGCCAGAGGCGGTGGCCTTCGTGGACCCAGCGCAGCTGGCGCCAACGCAGCCAGCATCTCAGCAGGAGCTGATTCAGGGCCCGAAGGAGAGCCTCACGGACGACATATGAACGACGTGGCCAGCATGCAGCAGAAGGGGGTGTACATGATGAGGGAAGACTTGGCGCATGGGGCGTCGCCTTCCGTGTCGTCAACTCCTACGGCAGCTGCAGTGAATGAGCCCGCCTGCTCTTTTCTCATGTCAGATTTACAGTCTTTCTACGCTGGAGATGACCTAGGGATTGAGGTCAACACCAGCAGCCAGCTGGCATGGATCGCCAGCAAACTGATTCGAAAGACCCTCGAGGCAACAGCCTTACGGGCAGCGTTTTTCATTTCGAGTATTTACCAGGACATTCGGCCGGGGGAAAACGGCCCCCCTCCCCCAAAGAGGTCCAAGGGGAAGAAGAATGTCTGCTGGGGAGTCTCACACATTAAATATTATGATCCTGGTCATAGGATAGGGCAAGGTGGGCTCGAGTCCAAAGGCGACCAACGGAGGATACTTAAACATTCAGGGATGCATAATTCGGAGCTGGCCCCCCAGGGCTCCGCAGGAGCCTCGCCCCTTTTCCTCGAGTGCCCCCCCCCCCCCCCCTCCCATGGTGGCTCACCCCCTGGGGAGATGGTGGTTCGCGCGTCGTCTTGGGCCCCCCCTCTTGGCCCCCCCAATGTCCGCTCGAGAGAAAAGCGCTGTCGTCTTGGGCCCCCCCTCTTGGCCCCCCCAATGTCCGCTCGAGAGAAAAGCGCTGCCCATCATCATGAAGGCCAAGAGGGCAGCGGCATGAATAGTCAGAGCCAGCTGGAGCAGCATGAAGGCGAGCAAGACAGCACGAGACGACACCTGTGCACGTTTGAAGTTTGCAATCCTATCCTGGAGGTCATTTTGTCTTCTCCCGCCCCCCTCCTCGAGCTGGTGCCCCTGCAAGAGATGATCCAAGCGGGAGTGATTGAGGACGTTCCCAGGATAGCGATTAATGTGGCCCCTCCCAGACCCATTACCCCTTCCACCTTTCACATATATACGGATGGGTCCCATTGCGGGAAAGGAATATCCCGCGCGGCATGGGCCTTCGTGGTCATAGCGGAAGGTGCGGATGGTGTCTCTCCGTGGGGATGTTGGAGACGTAAGCTCGAGGACTCTTGCTCCATGGGATTCAACATTGAAAACTCGAATAGCACGACTTTGGAGCTTCTGGGACTTATTTGGGCTGCGTTGTGGGTTACCACGTGTCCTTTTGAGGTGGAGTTCCACGTCGTCAGCGACTCGCTCAGTGCGATAGGTGCGGCTATTGGGCAGAGCTGCACGCGATCTGATAGAGATTTAGCGAGGCTCCTTACGCAGATTTGGGCCATTGCTTGCGCGCAGAAACGGGCGAGCATATCGCATGAGAAAAGCCACGACGGACATCATTGGAACATGCTTGCTGATAACCTTGCTAAAGCTACGGCCTGTGATCGCATTCCACCCTCGAGCGTTCCTTTTCCCCTCTCTTGGACGCAAGCGATTTTCTACACGTGCAGTCGAGAGTGGGAGTGGGTCGAGGCTGTGCAAAGTAAGGGACAGGAGGATGGAGGAGCTTACCCCAATGTCACTCCGGGCAGCCGAGGAAGCTTTTCAGGCGCCCTTCCCTCCTCTCAAGCGATCTCCACCCCTCTGGGCGCTCCTGAAAGGAAGCGCAGCAGGGGGCCCTTAATTAGATTGCGAACGGCTACTTTCAATGCGCAGCCCCTCAGAGCCGACGGCAGAAGAGGCACCAAGGGGAAGCAAAGACAGGCCCGCTTGCTCCTCTTTCAGGAACAGATGTTTAAGGATGGGGTCCATTTGACCGGGGTCCAGGAAGGCCGAGACGCCCAAGGTACCCGCCGACAAGGCAACTTCATGGTTTTCTCGGCCGGCAACGAAAAGTATAACCTGGGAGTCGAGCTTTGGGTGAACATATGTACCCCGTATAGCGAGAAAGAAAGGTGATAAGGCGTTGTGTTTCAAAAAACAGCATATCCATATTCTCCATATGACCCCACGCATCATGATTGTCCAAATGGTTGCTCCCGCCTTTCGAGCCACTGTTGCTGTCGCCCACGCCCCGCACACGGGAGCTTCCCCCATCGAGTGTCAAGCATTTTGGCGAGAGCTTGCTGAGTTAAATATGCGGTGGCCGCCAGATTTTCTTTTCATTGATGCGAATGCTAGGCTTGGATCGCACCGAAGCAAGGCCGCGTCGTCCAGCGGACCTTCGACTGAAGAAGACAGACATGGGCGTCTCATGCACCAGACTATGCTGGAGAGTGACCTCTTTGTTGCTAATGCGCACCGTTGCACGGGGGATGGACGCACGCATCACACGAGAAACGGGCCCCCCCACAGGGTTGACTACGCTGTGATCTCCCCCCATTGGTTCCCTGCCCTCCAGGACACCAAGGCGTTGAAATATCTGGGCCATCTTAGGGGGCATGACGATCATCTGCCCGTTGTTGCGCCATTCGAGTGGCATGCTAGTGGGAGCGGCAAATCCAATCCCCCCCCCCCCCACGTTGGACAAAAATAAAATGAGTGACCCTCAGGCTTGCCAAGATTTTTCGTCCCAGCTGGAAAAGGCGAGCCTCCCCCCTTGGGATCTTGACCTCAACCTCCACTACGATCAGGCGTTGGATGTTTTGCGTAGCTGCTCCCAGGCTGCTTTCGGGAAAGCTAAGGTCAGACCCGGGAAACCGCACATCCCCCCCCCCCCCCCCGCCTTTGTTTTGATCCGCGCCAGGAGGGCGATCCGCAAGACCCTTTACTTGATGAGAGTTAACATGCCCGAGGTGGGCTTTTGCCCCATGCCGAGCAACAGGCTGAGGATTTGACCAGTCCGTCGCAAGAGCACGGGTTGCCCTCTCACCTCATAGGCAGAGTTTTTTTTTTCTCGCTGTCAATCGCAGCAATGGGAGATTTCGCACATTAGATCCAGCTCGAACAGAGGGCGGAGGCCAGCCTTCTCCTCTTCCATCCCCTTGCCCATGCGCGCCCCCCCCCCCCATCCAGGCGGCCTCTGCCCAGCTTGTCAAGAAGAGCATAGATCTGTTTGAATGTCGTCTGCACTTGGTGTCTTTTATAGCGAGCACGCACGAGCAGTTGCAGAAGGCGCTCGATCATGACTTCAGTGCTTTTCTGATGAAGCATGAGCAGGACACCAAAAAGGAAGAAACAGCAGGGCCGAATGGAACCATGTGCGCACTTTGTTGAGCTTCGGAGGAAAAAGACACAGGGCCCCTTTGGTGACCCCCATCAGGAGGACCCCCGATGGATCCATAGTAAGCAGCCCTCAAGAAGACGCTGACGATATGCAACATCACTTTGCTAAGGCTGAGTCAGGGGTCGAGATGTCACGCGAACGATTCCATCAGGATTACAATGCCAGTCAAGGAAAGTCGAATCAAGAGATTGAGAGGAAGGTCGAACATATCATCCCCAAAGCGGAGGTGGAACTTTTGATCCGTCGGGCCCCCAAAGGAAAGACCCTTGGTCCTGATGGGATCACTGACGATCTCCTGCGTGCGGCCCCCAAGGGAACCTCTCGCATCCTCCACCCCTTCTTGGTGAAAATGGGCCTGACGGCCACTGAACCTGTCGAGCTCAGGCTTGGACAGGTGGTCTCTTTTTACAAAGGAAAAGGCGACAGTAGCATGGCGGCTTGTTACCGCAGCATTCTGCTCTCTAACACCATCCTCAAATTGTACCATGCGCATGTCCGCTCTAAGGCTAAGAATATCATCTTTAGCACCTTGAGTGAGGAACAATGCGGTGGCCGCCCTGGAGTGGGAACTGATTTTGCCTGCCTGTACGTGCGCAATAGATTGCACGACATTGCGCTGAGAAAAAATACGGCCACCGCTATGTTTCTTGACCTCGTCGCCGCCTTTTATTCCGTGGCGAGGCAACTGGTCCTCGCCCTCCCGCACGAGGAAGAGCATTTTTTGCGGCGGTCTCGGACATGCCGATTCCTCTTGCGCTCCGAGATGCGATCTTGCAGTTGGCGGAGGACCCAACCTTGGACGCCCTGATCGAGGATCAACACCTGTTGGAGTTGGTTCGCGCCACCCAATCTGGGTTATGGTGGCAGTTTCGAGGATCCCATAAATACGTGGCCCCGACCCTCGGCACGAAGCCAGGTACGGTTTTTGCTTGTGACATGTTCAATGCTGCTTTCGCTCCGATCGTCCGAGGGATTCAAAGAGACATGGAGCATAACCAGCTGATTTCGGAGCTTCCTGGATGCGAGGGTCCGTTCCTGGGAACCGCGGACCCTGTGGTCCCGTTGGCTTCCTTCGCTTATGTTGACGACAACACTACGATTGGATAAGTCGAAGATGCCAGCTTGGCCACTTGCGTGGCTGACAAAATGTTAGACAATGTGTATAAGCATGTGAGTAACCACGGTCTGAGGATGAATGGCACTAAAACTGTTGTGATGATCAAGACTGCTGGGAAAAAATCCAGAATTGCCCAGCAACACCTTTTCGGAGACAGCACGGGAGCGGGTGCTGAGGTTGTCTCAAGCGATCACGCGGTCAAAGTTCGCGTTGTGAGAACCTATAAGTTGTCCGGGACTTACCTCACCGATAACAGGAACCTTAACGCCGAGATTAACCACCGCGTGAGCTCTATGAAAGCGGATCTCCGGCCCATCAGGACGAGCATTGCCCCGCGGAAGGCCTTGCCTACCGTCATCAAAATTAGGTCTACCGATAATACTGCGGGGTCTAAGTTGTTGTACAATACGTGTGTTTGGGAAATGCTTAATAAGAGCCAACTGAGAATAATGAGCACCGCCCAGGCCGATATGCGCCGAGCTGCGCTGGCTATGCCGAGGCATAAAGAAGGAAGACACCACCCGAACAGAGAAGTCTTGCATCATTCTCAGAGGGTGAGAATGGAGGTTGTCCTAAGGGTCGCCCGCCTCCGCTTGCTCCCTCGGATTTTGCCTCATGCCTCCTCATCCCTCCTCCGCATCCTTGATCTCACGCGCAACGCTGCTGGGACGTGGGCGAACGCCCTCATGCAGGACACCCAGTGGCTCAATACTCGGGTTAGAAAGAAAGGCATCCCAGGACAAGGGCGTTTTGAGGACTGGGTGGCTTCTGCTAAGCAAGCGCCAAAACAATCCTGGGGACCGTTCGCAGGGCCGCCATTAGTGACAGAAGCCTGGACAGCGAGATCCACCTTGAAAAGCATCATCTTGAGTTGTTGAGTGCCATGTTCAAAGGGAGAAGAATGGATTTTACTCTTAGCCATCCGACAGGGCAGGAAGACAACGGCACCCAGCAATATTGTTGCTACGAATGCGGTTTCACTTGCTATTCTTCGGCGGCCTTGCAGACCCACATTACGAAGACCCACCGCAGCGAGAGAGATCCTGACAATTGGGCGGCGGGGTCCTTATGCCAAATATGCCTGACTGAATTTCATTGTCGTGCTAGACTTGTCAAACATCTCAAGAGAGTGCCAAGGTGTGCCCACTCTTGGTTACAGAGTGGCAGAGCTATAGAGCATAACTCGGATGAAAGCAAGGCCGCTGACAGAGATTTCCAGAGTAAAAACAGAAAAAAAAAGGGTTGCATGACAACTGTGCTAAGAGCAGCGCCCATCGCTTTACGTACGGGCCCCCTGTTGGTCCCATGCTCCCCCTTCCTGCCCGTTCCCCATGTCTTCCCGTCTTTCCGCAAGTGTGCCTTGATCAGGAAGGAGGCTGCAGGGATGTCGTGTCTTATTGGCCCGCGGATGTGTCCCCCCCTCACATGCCTTGCGTTGTTATAATTGACGGTCCGGATGAAGTTGAATCCGTGTTGGAGCAACAGGCCCGCATTCAGAAGAACCTCCTAGGTAGGCAGGTTCAGGTCGTCCGCATTAGAAACACCCAAGCGGGAGAGGCCCAACTTTGGGCTAGGAGGATTCTTGACGGAGTTGTGTCGGCGGTCATTAGTTCCCCCCCCGACGAGACGTGGAACCCCGCTCGCAGTGGGTATGACGGAGGTTCCAGCCTCCCCCCCCTCCGCTCTGCTTCCTCCCCCCTGTGTCTCGGGACCTTCAGCGAGCTCGATTATAAGCAGGTGGCTGAAGCTAACGCTCTTTGGCGACCATCATGTATTATGCGGCCGCCGAGGCCAAGATCCCAATGATTCTCACCAACCCGAAAGGAATCGTCGGATATCCCGACCCTTGGGAGGACGAACTTGTTCGGTGGGCCAGCTTGCACAGGGACAGCTATAAGATCTACCGTCCCTTGCCCCGCAGGTGGAGTCCCGACCGCGCCCAAACGATACTGTCCAGCACTGCTCTCTCGCTGCCTCCCTTTGGCAGCCAGGTGGATGTGGATGAGTGGGCGGGGGACGTGCCTCTTCTCTTCTGCACCGCCATCGTTGCCGCCGCATTTCAATCGATGACGGGGGGGGCAACGGGGAGTTACCCGTACCAGGGCACCACCGCCCATCTTGCAGGGGATGAGCCATTTGGGGGCTAACCTCCTCCTCTGCACGTGCACTGTTTCATCCTTAGGATTGGCAGCTTGAACCACATGTCATCAGGTCGAGAGAGAGAGAGAGAGAGGAGGAGGAGGAGGAGGAGGAGGAGGAGGAGGAGGAGGAGGAGGGAGGAGGAGAGGGGAGGAGGAGGAGAGAGGTAGGTGGTGTGAGGAGGAGGGAGGAGGAGGAGGAGGAGGAGGAGGAGGAGGAGGAGGAGGAGGAAAAAGAGGAGAAGGAGGAACGGTGTAAACCCAAGACCCATAAACAATGGTGGAATAGACCCTCCCTTCAAGCTCCATCTTCATAGGCCCCTGCAAGGGTTCATTTCCATTGATGAAAGTGCCTTGTTGGGAGAACACCGTTTAAAGATCCTGAAGCGTGCCGCGAGTCAACCTGCTTTTCGTGTCTCGACGAGGAGGAAGAGGAGGAGTAGGAGAAGGAGGAGGAGGAGGAGCTGGAGCAGCAGTGCAGAAACGCAGGAAAAGGATCAGGGGCAGCGGCAGCAGAGGCATGAACCGAAAACGGGAGCATAGGAGATGGAGGAGGAGGAGGAGGAGGAGGAGGAGGAGGACGCTTCCTCCTCCCTCTCCTCCTCCTCCTCCTCCTCCTCCTCCTCCCCTTTTCCATCCTACCCCTCCACCGCCTCCTCTTGCTTCCCGCTTCCTCCCACCTTCCCGTCTCCCTCCCTCTCTCCTTCCATACCTCCTTTCTCATACGAAAGCCCCTCTGCGAAGATCTCGTTGTCGTTGCCATCGTCGTCGTCGTCGTCGTCGTCGCTCAAAGCCTTCCCAGGACCTAACCACACGGAGCCCCCCTCCGACGTCGCCGTCGTCGTCGTCCAAATCCCCCCGAGGACCTCACCACTGACATGCAACCGTCCGTGGGCCTCTCGATGTCGCGCTTCCGCCGCACGGCGCTGAGCTTCCGGGACACAGTGTGCGCCTCGTGGGGTGGGGGGGGGACCGCCGGCTCAAGGCCAGAGCAGGATCGTCGTCGTCGTCTTTCTATTCCTCCTCTTCCTCCTCCTCTCCCCCCTCTCCTACCACTCCTCCTCCGCCTCCTCCTCCTCCTCCCTATCCCTCCTTCGTGCCTCAACGTTGACCGCTGATCTCCCTCGCCCCCGTTCCTCTTGCTCTCGCCGCGGTCTCCTCCTAGACTCACGCGGCTCCGTTGGGCGTTCCCTTGACTCCGATGGCCTGTGCGCGCGCGGCCGCGCGGCCCGCACGTTGCTCGCGGAGCCGCCGAGCCCATGCCAGAGCTCGGTCACATTGCTGGAGGGGGAGGAAGGGGGGAGGGGAGGTGCACCACACACCGGCTGATCCCGAGGCCACCGGGGGATGAGGGGAGGCGGGCGGAGCGGCGGGGCCATTCAACCGTAGCAGGTGCACTTGCCTCAGACGCAGTACCTCGGCGGTAACACTACGGGGTACCTTGTCTGTAGCGCTGTAGACCTGGTACGTTCGCGTAGTACCCTTGTCCGCAGCGCCGTAGTAGTTCGTAATCTTCCCCAGCTTCAGGTAGGCTGGTCTCGCCATGACTCCCCAGAGTCGTCGCTTGCCAGGTCGTAGTAATGAGCGTTCCACCTGTCTTCGTTTAAGTAGGTGTTGTACTTTTCGCTACTTTCCTCTCTCGTTGTCCTCGTCGTCGCACTCGTCTTCCTCCGATCGTCGTAAAAGTTCTGCGGCGAGGGTCGGCATGGGTCGCTGGCCTCGTAGTGGTCGCGGGCGGACAAGAGCGCTTTGACGGCTCCTGAGGGGCACAGCGCGCGGACCATCGCGTCCCCGTCTTCGTAGTGGCGGTCACCGCTCATGTCTATGGGCACCATCATGTCGTGGGGCTTGCTGTACGCGGGGTTCGTGAGTTTGGATATGGTCCTGATGGCGAATGTCTCTGTGATGGCCTGGCCCTCGGCGATCCATGGCCCTGAGGAAATCCAGCCCCTGGCGCGCGGCGTACACGATCAGGGTGGGCTTGTCCTGCTCGTCGCTCTCCTCGTCCTCCTCTCGTGGTCCCCGTAGCTCAGCCGGTGGCTCTCGGAGAGTCCTGCCCGTGGCCCTCGCAGCTCGGCTTGTGGCCCCCGCTTCTCGGCTGGTGGTGTTCGCAGCTGTGTCGGGGCTCTAGGGGCTCCGCTCGTGGACCCTGTAGTTCAGCTGGTGGCGCTGGTAGCTCTGCTGGAGGCCCTTGCTACTCGGCTCGGGTCCCGCGTGACTCAGCTTGTGCCTGTATAGCCTTGCTGGTGGCCCTCGTAGTCCAGCTGGTGGTCCTTGCAGTCCGGCGTGTGGTCCTCCTCGTGGCTCGGCTTGCCGATCTTGAAGCTCAGCTCATGGCCCTCGCAGCTCAAGTGGCCCAGCTGGTTGCCCTCGTAGCTGAGCTGGTTGCCCTCGTAGATCGGCCCTCGTAGTTCAGCTGGTGGGTATCGGAGTTCTGCTTCTGGTCCTTCCAGTTCAGCTCGTCGCCCCAGTCGCTCTCGAGGATGCTCAGGTAGTTCTTCCTGTAGTCCGCGAAGCTCTGGTTGTGGCCCTCGTGGCTCTCGTAGCTGTGCCTGTAGTCCTCGTAGCACAGCTGGTGCCTCCAGTAGCTCAGCTGGTGGACCTCGTAGCTCAGAAGGTGGCCCTCGTAGCGCAGCATACGGTCCCAGCAGTTCAGCTGGTAGTCTTCGTCCTGCCTGTTGCCTTCGTAGCTCAGCTTGCGCTCCTCGTTGCTCAGCTTGTGGCTCTCGTGGCTCTGCTGGTGGCTTTCGTAGCACGGCAGGTGGGTCTTGAACCTCTTTGGTGGCTCCCATAGCTGTGCGTATGGTCCTCGTAGCTCAGCATGTGGTCTTCGTAGCACAGCTTGTGGCTCACGTGGTTCTGCTGGTGGCTCTCGCAGCTCGGCAGGTGGGTCTTGCAGCTCTTCTGGTGACTCTCGTAGCTGTGCGTGTGGTCCTCGCAGCTCAACTTGTGGTCACCGAAGGTCGTCTGGTGGCCCTGGGAGCTCTGCTGGTGGCGGTAGTCGCTCTGCTCGTTGCCCTCGAAGCTCGGATAGTGGCCCAAGTAGCTTTCCAGGTGGCCCTCGTAGCCCTGCTCCTCGTAGCTCGGCAGGTGGGTCTTGAGGCTCCCCTGGTGGCCCTCGTAGCTGTGCATGTGGTCCTCGTAGTTCAGCTTGTGGTCCCCGAAGGTCGCCTGGTGGCACTGGTAACTCTGCTGGTGGCTGTGGCAGCTCTGAGAGCACGCTGTCTTCGTAGTCCCCGAGGTCCGAGTCGGAGTCGTCGGCTGCCAAGCCGTAGTGTTCCACGTTCTGGGTGTCCCTGTAGTCTTGGCGGCTGTCGTAGCATTGCGGCTCGTCGGAGTACAGGTCGCTATCGGAGAAGCTGTCGTAGTCATGGAAAGCGCGCCATTGGATCACCCAGTAATTGAAAAGGGGGGGGGGCGTTCGGACCCCCCCTCCCCCACCCACCCCACCCCCCCTTCAAAGGAGGGGGGGGGGAGATTTTCGACCCCCCCTCCCCCCTGAAGGGGCGGGGGGGGTTCCGAACCCGCCCCCCCCCCCTCCCTTGAAGGGGGGCGGGGTCCGGACACACACCCCCCTTTGGCGCTGAAAGGGGGGGGGTTCGACCCCCCCCTTCTTTTCCTTTGCGCCGGACAGAGAGCCGGGGAGGGGCCTCTCCAGCTGCTCCTTTCTGCGCCAGAGAAGGTGGGTAGGGAGTATGGAGTAGGGTGTAGTGGGTAGTGAGTAGTGAGTAGTGAATAGTGAGTAGCAGTGAGTGGCGAGTAGTGAGTAGTGAGTAGTGAGTAGTGAGTAGCGAATAGTGAGTAATGAGTAGTAAGTAGTGTGTAATGAGTAGTGGGAAGTAGTGAGTAGTGAGTAGTGAGTAGTGGGTAGTGAGTCGTCGGTGGTGAGTAGTGAGTAGTGAGTAGTGGGTAGTGGTAGTGCGTAGTGAGTAGTGAGTAGAGAGTAGTGAATAGTGAATAGTATGTAGTGAGTAGTGAGTAATGAGTAATGGGTAGTGACTAGTGAGTAGTGAGTTGTGAGTAGTGAGTGTTGAGTAGTGCGTAGTGAGTAGTGAGTTGTGACTTGTGAGGGGGAGTTTTGAGTTGTGAGTAGTGATTAGTGAGTAGCGAGTAGAAAGTAGTGGGTGGTGAGTACGGAGTTTTGAGGAGCCAGTAGCGAGTAGGGAGTACCGAGTAGTGAGTGGTGAGTCGTGAGTAGTGAGTAATGCGTACAGAGTAGTGAGTAGTGAGTAGTGAGTAGTGAGTAGTAAGTGGTGGGTGGTGAGTAGTGAGTATCGAGTAGCGAGTACCGAGTTGGAAGTACCGGCTAGTGAGTCGTGAGTAGTGAGTAGTGGGTATTGTGTTGGGAGTAGCGAGTAGAGAGTGGTGAATAGTGAGTACTGAGTAATGAGTAGTGCGTAGTGAGTAGTGAGTAGGGAGTAGTGAGTAGTGAATAGTGGATAGTGTTTAGTGAGTAGTGAATAGTGAGTAGTGAGTAGTGGGCAATGAGTCGTGCGTAGTGAGTAGTGAGCACTGCGTAAAGAGTAGTGACTTGTGAGTAGGGGGTAGAGAGTAGTGAGTAGGAAGCAGTGAGTAGTGAGTAGTGGGTAATGGGTAGTGAGTAGTGAGTATCGAGTACTGTTTAGGGCGATGGTAAAGGGGTTGGGTTCTGGGAGTCAGCGGGCGGCGTGGCGAAAGGGGGGGAGGGGGGGGGTCGAATGTCTAGCCCAGGGGGGGGAAGGGGGGGGTCGGACCCCCCCCGGGGGGGGACCCACCTCCCCCCCCCTCTGGGGTATCCAGCGGCGCGCCCTCGTAGTCATGCTCGTCGTAGGTGGCGCGGCCGTAGTTGTACTCGTTGTAGGCGGCGCGGCCGTTGTCCACCGTTACTTCCACGACCAAGTACTTAGAAACGCTTTCGGGCTTCTCGGTCGTGTCGTTCCTGGTGTCGGTCTTTGTGGCGTACTTGGTTTCGTAGTGGTGGTGGTACTCGTCCTTGGGCTGCCTGTTACGCAGCTCGTTGTCGTACATGGGTTGCCTGCAACGCAGCTCATTTTCGCACTGGGGCTGCCTGTTACGCAGCTCGTGCTTGGACGCCTTCGCGGTCGTAGCAATGATAAGGATGTCTTCGGGTCGAGCCTGTATCCCATGCCGAACGTTGTGCCCCACTCGTTTTGGGGCTACGTCTGTTCGCGCCCATGAACCTCTATGCGTGTATGGTCTCGGCATCCTTGCCGGTGCGTGTCCACAGCAGTGGGAAAGTCTCGTAGCCGTGTGGTTCAACAGCTGGTGATTGATGTTGTAGTCGCGGTGTGCCTTAGCTTCCAATGATCTCGAGGTACTGCACGTCGATCCTGACGATGTCCACGTGGATCGTGAAGTGTCTAGTGGCGAACGTCTCTCACGACGCGCCGTCCGCCGCGTGGCGGACAGCGCGCTCGGGCTGGCCACCCCTCCTGCGGGTGGTGGGGAGCCCCCCTCCCCCGCCAGGAGCCAGAGTGGCCCTAGCCGCCGGCTTCCTGAGGCACCGCAACCCCTCGAGCGTCTCGCCTGGGAGGGGCCAGGAGTGGCTCCGAGAGCTGGGTGGGTTTTGCTGGGCTTTCTGGCCGAGGCCGTCGACTTGGCCATGGCTGCGGCAGCAGAGTTCGAGTTTTTCTACGGTCTGGAACTTTGGCTTAGCGTGTCGCGCCGCTTGTTCTGGCCCACAGCGCTGCGGCGAGATATGCTATCCACGTTTCATTCCCCAAGCGTCCGTTTTCCGAGCTTTCCCGAGCCTCCCGCCCCGCGGAGCCGAGCGACACGCCATCCGCTCGCGTGGCATAGCGTGTCGCCAGCGCCGCCGCCGCGACACGCTCAGCAAAAGTTCTCGACCGTATTCTATGCCTGATCCTGTCCCTGAAGGCGCGGGAGTTGGTGTGCACGGCGAAGCTGCGGTGGCAGAAATGGTTTGCCGAGATATTGTTTTGGCCAGAGTCGGCAGAGCAACTCATTGCGTGCTTTGTGCGGTGGTACCCCGTTGTGTCCCGAGGGCTTTCCAGAACGAGTGTCGCGGACCCTCGAAGGTGCCGTCTACGCGTGGTAAGCAGATGAGGAATCGGGCCCGAGCGGAGAACAGTCTCCACCCGCCCACGGGACTCCCCCTGGACCGATTCGTTTGTGTGTTCCCCCATTCGGTAGCCAGCCGTATGTCTGATCTTTGATTGCCGCGTGTTTTGCCTTCGGGCACGCGGTGGCGGAAGTGGCACGTGCCCCTTTGGCACCACCCGCCTCTGTCCTTTTTAGCCTGATGGCATCCGTACTTTCTGATGCTTCCCAGTCGACGCCCACCTCCCTCTTCCTCCCTCCTCCCTCCCCCTTCGCCTCGCGCGCGCATGCCCCTTCGCCTCGCGCGCGCATGGGGCGAGGAGGAAGTGGAGAAGGACGGATGACGACGACGACGACAACGACGACGACGACGACGACGACGACGACGAGGAGGAGGAGGATGATGATGATGATGATGATGGTGATGGTGATGGTGATGGTGATGGTGATGGTGATGGTGATGGTGATGGTGATGGTGATGATTATGATGATGCTGATGATGCTGATGATGATGATGATGATGCTGATGCTGCTGATGATGAAGATGATGATGATGCTGCTGATGATGATGATCCACGCGGTGAGGATGATGCCGCTGCTGAGGATGATGCTGATACTGATGATGATGCCGATGAGGCTGATGAAGCTGGTGATGATGATGATGATGATGATGATGATGATGATGATGATGATGATGATGATGATGATGATGATGATGATGATGCTGATGGTGATAATGATGATAATGATGCTCCTGCTGATGATGATGATAATGATGGTGATGATGATGATGCTGATGATCATTATGGTGATGATGTTGCTGATGATGATGAGAGTGATGCTGGTGGTACTGGTGTTGATGCTGATGATGATGATGCTGATGACGATGATGCTGCTGCTGAAGATGCTGATTATGATGATGATGATGACGATGACGATGACGATGACGATGACGATGATGATGATGATGATGATGATGATGATGATGATGATGATGATGATGATGATGATGATGCTGATGATGCTGATGATGATGAGGATGATGGTGGTGGTGGTGATGGTGGTGGTGGTGTTGATGATGATGATGATGGTGATGATGATGCTGCTGCTGCTGATGATGATGATACTGATACTGATACTGATACTGATACTGATGCTAATGCTGATGCTGATGATGCTGATGATGCTGGTGATGTTGATGATGAAGAGGAGGAGGAGGAGGAGGAGGAGGAGGAGGAAAAGGAGGAGGAGCAGCAGCAGGAGGAGCAGCAGCAGCTGGAGGGACTTTGATGGTTGGCTTCTCGCCCCTTTTCTGGGCTCAGGGTGGGGGTAGGGTGGCCTTCACCGCCACGGCTGGATCCGCCTCGAGATAATGGCCAGTGTGTGAGAGATCGTCTGGGAGATCCTCAAAAGAGGAATCGGTTTTGAGGGTGGAGGAGCAGACTCTGTTTGACATCAACGGGTATCTGCCGACGACGCAAGTGGGAATGGCGAGACCACCCAGAGGGAGCATGAGGGAGCGCCCTTGCGCCCTAAATGACATATCCGCTCAAATCGTGAGAATGCACGGCCTGCGCGAGGACCAGGATAGATATGGCCATTGTCAAACGGTACTTGCAGGGCATGTGCAAGCAGGCATCTGATGGCATCCGTGAGGAAACCATGGGCGGCACCCATACGCAGTGTGAGCTGTTCGTGGTACGGGCAGCAGCCGATATATCATAGAAGTGTGGACATCAGACACAAACGCGCACAGAGCTCCAGCATGAAGAGCACGAGGAGGAGGAGGAGGAGGAGGAGGAGGAGGCGAAGGAGGAGGAGCAATCGGAGGTGCAGAGAAGACGAGCAGGAGTACGAGGCCTGGGGGACAGAACCAGCGTGTTGTCGTCGTCTTCTGCCGGTCTGTGGTCTGGCGCCCTCCCAGGCGCTGCCGTCCATCTTCACCATAGCGCTCCAGACCCTGCAGCAGCTCGTGAGCGGCTCCATTGCTATTCCGGACAAGAACGACGAGCGGAGGCCACGGGGCGGGTGTTCTCCACTTCGGCACGACCCACGTCGGCACCGCACGCAAGAGGGTGGTGCGAGGGGGCCGGCTTCTTCGGAGGCTTTGGCGCCCTTCGCCCCATCCGTGCCTCCTGGGGCCTCTCGTGGCCACGCTTCGACGCAGCTCGGGACTTTGGCCAGGACTGACCCGCTGGCAGTGGTTTGGGGATCGGCTTCGAGCGGGTTTGGGTCCGACGGCGTGAGGGCGGGGCGAGTGGAGCGGCCTCTTCAGAAGACACGAGGGCTCGTCAGAAGCCCTCCTGCCATCCCGGAGGACTTCTTCGGAGGGACGCCAACAGCACACCACCACCGGCCCTGGCCGGGCAACGTCCTGGGCCTCAGACCGGCGTGTGGACCTCCAGGCCTAGGCCATGAGGGCCTGTACACCAGTCCAGGGCCAAAGGATGGGGCTGGCCAGGGCCGGTGGTGTGCTGCTTGGAGCTCTCCTACTTCTCAGAAGCCCCCGGCTCCGCGTTCGGTAATAAGCGCAGGGGGGGTCGCCACCCCCGCCGACATCTTTGAGCCGACCCCCGTCGCGGACCGCTACCGCGCGCCGAAGGCGCTCTAACCCCCCGTCGCGGTGCGCCGGCTAGGCGAGGTGGACCCACTAATCGGGGGGCCCCGCCCACGCTTGTTGCGAAGCACAGAGTGCCCCTTCTGAGAAGCACCCCGGTCTTCACAGACGCCCGCCGCACTCGCGCCGACCCCTGCGGCGCACAGCCATCTGGGGCTGCGCATGCTCCTGCTCCTGCTGCTGCTGCTGCTCCTCCACCGTTTGCAGCGTGGCTGAGCGGTAGACCGTTCGAGGAGGAGGAGGAGGAGGAGGAGGAGGAGGAGGAGGAGGAGGAGGAAGAGGAAAGGATGGTGAAAGGAGGAAGAGGGATGGAGGGTTAGCGGTGAGGAGACATGAAGATTGAGAAGAATGAGCTTCCCTCTTCCTGTCCAGGCTGATGAAGCAGGTCTTGCAGCTGGCGTGCAACTGCTTGTCCTTCGACTTCATGGGCACGATCCCTGACGAGACGTCGGACGCGGGCGACTGGTTAGGGAAGGAGGAGGAGGAGGAGGAGCAAGAGAAGAGGGATGGAGATGAGAGGCATGCGGGATGGATGAGTGATGTAGGGAGGGACGGGGGAGGGAGGCAGCACTCAAAAACGTACGCAGCTTTCTTATCATATGTATGATCAGCGTCTTATCCTCCTCCTCCTCCTTGGCCCTCGATCTGCCAGGAAAAGGGAAAGGATGAGGAGGAAGGAGGAGGAGCAGCAGCAGGAGGAGGAGGAGGAGAAGGAGGGAGTATGAAGGCGGGAGAGGGAAGAGAAGGAGGAAAAAGAGGGAAGTATCGGCAGGAGAGGGATTGAGAGGGACGGGACGAAGAAGGAGGGGAAGGAAAGAAGGAAGGAAGGATGGATGGGAAGCAGAGGGAGGAGGGGCAGGAGGGAGGAGGCATGGTGGAGGAAGAGGAGGAGGAGGAGGAGGAAGAGGAGGAGGACGACGAGGTGGAGGAGGAGGAGGAGGAGGAGGAGGAGAAGAAGGAGGAGGGAGGAGGCATGGCGGAGGAGAGGGAGGAGGCATAGTGGAGGAGGGAGGAGGAGTATGAGGAGGAGGAGGAGGAGGAGGAGGAGAAGAAGAAGAAGAAGAAGGAGGAGGAGGAGGATAACAATGACTTCGACGACGACGACGACGACGACGACGGCGACGCCCCAGTCCCGACCACGCAGGCAAAGCAACGTATTCAGAACGAAACGGGGAGTCGAGAGGAAGACGTGGAAAGGCAATGGAAGGCAATAGCTTCGGCGAGGGAAGCCCGACTGCACGGCGGGTTCGTGCCGCCTCGACGCGGCGGCGACGCGGGCGTGAGCGTTCAAGGCCGAACTCCCTCCGGCGGCCCGTTTCGAGGCCCTGGCGGTTCAGAGAGAGAGACGCCCACGGCGCCAAGGCCATACCCAGAGAGGCTCGGGACTGGGCCTCCGGGAGCGGAGGCTGGTCAAAGTTGAGCGGCTCGCGTATTGTTAGAGATCAGGGCCCACGTCGTCGGGGCAGGAGCTCGTCGGAAGCTTTCCAGACCTCCGTCGATTTTCTTCCGACCATACTGTGTTGAGCTGGGTCCTTCTGGTTTTGAGTCCGCAGCGCCCCGCGTTTCCTCCCATCCCGCCTCTCCCTCCTCCCTCGTCATCGTCATCGTCATCATTTCGTCGCACGCCTCACGCGCTTCGTGGCCCCAGAGGCAGTTCCACCGAAGGCCCCAGTGGCAGGGCTCGCACGGCGTACCCACCTCCATTTTGGCACACCTCTCACACGTTTCGTGGTCCTAAATGGGAGCTCCACCGACTCGACCGAATGCCTCAGTGACAGGATTCGCATATCGCACCCGTCTCCAATGCGGCACACCCCTCACACCCTCCGTGGCCCCATGTGGAGCGCACCGAAGGCCCCAGAGGCGGTGTTCGTATGGCGCCGCCCCGCCAGGAGATGCGCGCCGGTCCGTCATCTTGCTCGCCCCCACCTTTATCTCATCCGCCTCGCGGTGCTCGCAGCCGTAAGTGGTTGGTTCCTTCGCCAGGATGTGTTGTCAGTTTGTCTGTTTTGTTGGGTTGTGGAGCCCCTGGGCCTCTCGGACCTTCTCCCTTGGGCCAGTGTGCCCCCCCCTTTCCCCTCCCTCGTCCAGCCCTTCCGCTGGCCTCGTACCTACTCGCTCCTCCCTTTTTCTCCCTCCCCCCTCGCTCGTCTGTCCTCCCTCATTCCCCCTTCCTGCTTCCGCCCTCCTTCCTCCCTCTTCGTCTGCTTCTTCTCTTCCTCCTCCTCCTCCTCCTGATCCTCCTTCTCCTCCTCCTGCTCAGGATGAGCAGAGCACCGTCATGGTGCCCCACAGCTGGAACATGCTCAGGCCGTTGGTCAACCTGGAATAAGAGGAGGGGGAGGAGGAGGAGTCAAAGCTATGTGTGCTCGCATTATATATGACGCTCTACCCCTCCTTCCCATCCCTTACCATGGCGTAGATATCCTCTCTATTCTCACAGTCGGATATCGAGCAGGGCAATGAGCGCGAGAGGGTGCGCGATGCATGGTCGAGCACGGCATGGCATGGCGTAGGAGAGCACGGCAGAGCGTAGCATGTCATAACATGGCGTTGCATTGCGCAGTGAAGAATTGCATCACAAAGCATTGCAACGCAAAGCATGGCATCGCACAGCGGCGCAGGACACAACACACCGCACAGCATATCATTGCCGGGTTCCTTGGAGGGTATGTAAATCGTTTTTGAGAGGTCTGGGCCAGTCTGGTGTGGTGGCTCCATGTCTAGCTCTCTGGGCTCCCTGGAAAGCTCCACACAAGGCGGGGCTGATGGAGAGCATCCGCTGGCTCTGCTTCCAACATTGCCTTCTCCAAGCAGGGACGGGGCTCCCGCTTGATACTTCCTGACATCGACGACGCCCCAAAGTTTGGGGGGGGCATCTGCGGCCCCAAAAATCAATGAATCGACACCGAATGTGTAATCACTTCTGATGCTTTTTTTTCCGGGGAGCCATTCTCTAGGCTTCGGGGCTTATTTGGAAGGACCGAGAAAGCCCGCGCTGCAGCGGGAGCAGGATTTGGAACAACCAGAGGCGCAGAAATGGGGCCTTGCGCTTCAGCGGGAGGAGCTTTTTGAAAACAAGCCCAGCGAAAACCCAGTTCTCGGGAATCCTTCTTTCCCAAAAACAGTACGCGCGGGGGGACCGGATATCTTCCGGACGTCCTCAGGGGAGAGGGGAGAGTAGTATTCATATTGTGTAATTGTGGAGGAGGCGGAGGATTGTGGTGGTGGTGGTGGTGGTAATAAAGATGCTCTGGTGCAATTGGAGGCACACATTCGGAAACCTCCCCAAACCTACCAAAACTCCCCAAGGTATTGGAGAGCGTCGGAAAAGCTCCCGTGGCAAGGACATTTCAGAAGCCTTAAATATCTTTGAGAAATCCTGTTGGAGACTTCGTCTTCCCCCCGCATGCCGTCGCCGCCGCCGTCGTCGTCGTCGTCGTCGTCGTCGTCGTCGTCGTCGTCGTGGTCGTAGTCTTCGTTGTCGTCATCCTCCCTCGGTAAAGCTAACATGGTCATGAAGATTAAAGACAGAAAAACAGTAATGGAAAACACGTTGCAGAGGGGAGGTTCGCGCACTCGTGAAAACTTGGAGGGGTCCGCGAGGAGCTACCGTAATAGCGACCTTTTGCCCAACTTGAGGCAACGGGGGGATCCAACTCCACCTCCTCCTCCTCCTCCTCCTCCTCGTGCTCGTCCCCCTCCTCTTCCTCCTTCTCCTCCTGCACCTCCTCCCTCTTTCTTCACAGACTTGTCCAAGAGCGCGAGAAGACCCAGATTTCGAGGTGAATGCAGCCGTGACGGCGATGGCCCCCAGGAGTCCCGAAAAGAGGGGTAAACGACATTGTTTTCCTGTTCCTCTTTCTCCTCCTCAGAACTCCGATGTCATGTATTTTTCGTGACGTGGGCCCCCAGCTCGACCCATCCCCAGGACCAGCTTTTCGTCCTGGGCCGTTGTTTGATTGCTCCGGGTCCGACATGGCTGCCAAAGGCATGGAGTGTGAAACAACCGGCCGTATCGAGATGTTTGTGACGCCAGGGGTCTGGGCCCCACCTCCAGCAGCAACTCGCCAGAGTCGACCACGAGACCTCTCCTGGGGTGCTTTGTGGCCAGAAGTTTGAGGCGGATTCAGCCGTGGCCACCAGAGCGCCCCAGGAGTCCTTCAAAAGTACCCAACAAACTTCAAAAGTCGATCCTCGGTCGTCTTCCTCGATCCCTCCTCCTGCTCCTCCTCTTCCTCTTCCTTCCGTCGCCATGTCGGCTCAAGATGTTGGTTTCCTTGGGGAGCTAAGTCGATACCGCTGGTCCGCGGCTTGCTATTATTATTCTCCTTTTCACTTTTACGGCAGTGCAAGGCTGCCATTTCCACCGCGCGCATTGTTCTCTCACGCTTGTGCGGTTTGGGACTGCAGTGACATCGGAGTTGGGCTACTTTCTGTGATCGCTCTCTCGACTGTGTCTTGGGCTCGAAGTTGTGTCTTGCTGTCAAGATGCTGAACGGTTCCCGTCGCAAGAAGAAGATCGCCCCGCACAGGGCGCAACCTCCCCCCGAAGATGTCCAGGAAGGCCATGCTTCTCCTAGTGGTGATGACGATCTTCGTTCAAGCCCTGGTCGGGCAGCTGTAAGTACAGTTTCTGATGGCGACCACGACGATTGGCACGGCAGCCATGTCAGATAATTGGTCGCGCCAACATCGCGAGAATAATTTCGCTGCATCTGCCAAGGACGCCGTCGCCGCCGCTGTCGCTCCTATCGACCAGGCCATCAAACAGCTTAGCAACGCCATCTTGAACGCCTTTGCTAACGCGGCAGCCGCCGCATCTGCCAGCATTCGGCCAGAACTCGACGACATCGAGACGCACCTTCTGGACAGCCTGAAAGAGCAGGTGGCCAAATCCAAAAGTATGACGACGTGTTCGTGGACCCTCAGACCCAGATGCAGGATAATCGGAAGGAGTTGGCTTCGGCTGAGCGGGCTCCTCACCGCCCAAGCCCAATGATCGCAAGTATAACCGCGAGATCGACACGATGATCCTCAAGGTCACGGACTCCGAGCTTGTCCACCGGGAGAACCTTTGTAGAAGGTATTGGAGGCATGGCGTAAGGCTGCAGATATCGCGGGCGCATTCAAGACCGAGCCAGGTGAAACGCAGTCGAAGCGTTTCACTGCGCAGTTCTCGGGCTATGTGGCTGTGGCCAGTAGGTGGACCCAGCAAGCCTTGGGGACTTTCAAAACCAAAGAGAGGTGGACCAGATCCTTGTTGCCCTCGGTGGAGGAACCATCTATGCAGCTTCACGTTGGACCTGACAAGTTCCCCTTTCCAGATTCGCATGGAGATCCAAAGCGAGAAATGCGTTAACAAGCTGCGGGGCGATTTTGGTGGCACAATGTTTTTTGATCGCAGCAACGGCTGCCTTTCGGAAAATTGGACGCCTTTGCTCCGGCTGGCTCCCAGTGCCGGCAGGGAGATTGCGTCGGTTTATTGGAGTGGGCGGATTCTACGACATATCGAGCCCACCATGTCTCTTGACGCCCAGCTCGAGTAGTGTCGCCGACAACTTCCTAGCTCTCCAACGTAGGACACTTCTGGGCTCGCAGGCTTCGAAAGGTTCGGCGGGTTCTGCGAGTCGGATGCTGGCCTTATGGCACGTGGAACGCACGCGTGGTCTTCAGATGGCGTGGTACAGTGGCTCTGGAGACAGCCGACTACGGCCGGGCCTTCTCTGGAAGTCCTGGAGGTGTACCAGACCAGAGGTCAGATCAAGACCTCGTTCCAGCGCGTCGCGCTCTATTCCACAGCGCTGCGCAGCGGGCGGGCGTCGCAACTGTTCTTCCTCTCTCGAAGGACGCAGCGAGACCAGCGCCAAAGTCACGGTGAAAGCAGGTCAGGTTGAGCTACGCCACTACAGCGTTCGTAACCGTGGTCTTACAGGTAAGGAAGTGTCTGGCATTCTTCGCGCCCTGCAACAAGATATTAATTTGGCCAGACAGGCCCCAGGATCTCGACTGTTGGTCGCGGTGGGAAGCAGGAAATTCGCTTCGTGCAGCACGCTGGACCATCTTCAACCACATGGGGAGAAGCTCGCTTAGCAAGCGCAGCAATGTCCGCTACTTCGTGTCGAAATTGACGGTCGTTCTCGACTCACTGGTTGAAGTCCCAGCGGACGGCCCGACCCACTTCCGCACAGACATCGGCGAGCTGTCGCCCCTGGATGCGATCTGGACACCCCCTCAGCATGGCTGGCAATCGTGTGCCGACTCGTCCGCGGGGGCGCAGTGGATGACTCACTTGGGACGTTGCGCAACAAGGGGATCTTTGATCTTGCCGCGCCGGGATCATCATCCAAGAGAAGAACCCGAGAACGCGCAGTGACCTGGGTCTCCCGCCAGCGGCGTTTGAAAGGCCGAGTAGAAGCGCGCGAACTTGCTTAGTTGTGCGCCCCCTTCGTTTCCGGCACCGCCGTTTCAACGAGCTGATCGTCGAGGCTGCCCGCGCTGCCATCAAGAAAGTGCTTATGGCAGAGAGAGATGACATCCAATGACATGCTGTCTTGGTCAAGCAAGCTGCGCGCGCGGCATGGGAAAGTGACGCCAAGTTGGCGGCGCGTATCACCTCGGCTTCTACGGTGGCGGCTGCGTGCTCGCGCACCGCGGATGGCAACGTGGCAGTCACCGACCGCGGAAGCTGTCGGAGCTAGGCGGATGGGGTTCAGGTGCATGTTGCGGAGCAAGACATCTCAGCGATCCAGGTTGGTCTTGCCGAAGCAAGGGGGAAGATGTGGAATCGCGGCCAGGATCAACGCCGTGGAAAGGGGCGCGCAGATGCGGGTCTCTTTTGGCAAGACGATGGTCTCGAGGGCAGCGCAAAACGGCAGCGCGTCTCATCGCAGTCGCGAGGGCCAGATGCAGGATTCATTGAATAATTGGGCACGCGTGTTCTCGGAAGTATTGTGCGATGAAGGTCTTGCATGCGAGCGCGTTGAAGAGTTCTTGGCCCCGCGCCGTCCTGCCGACCTCCCACCTCCCAACATGGGGCTGATACTGCGCGCCATCGACGCGCCCGAGGGTGTCCGCAGTGCCTCGGCAGCGGGCGGCACCCCCAACGCCGCGCTTGGGCTTCCTCGCCGATGCGCGCAGCAAAATTTCTGGGATGCGTCGCTGCGGATGCGCTACGGTGGCAGATTGCCCAGCGCAGCTGGCGACGCCAAACAAGCTTTCCCTTGCAGAGGCGCTCATCCTGACGACCCCCCCGATGGCTCGGTCATCCGCGCCCCGGAGAGGGGTCCGCCTGCCGGGGCTGCGCAAGTCCGACGTCGAGCTCATCTCCGCCATGTTCGGGCGACCTGCAGGTACGCCAATGGATTCGTCAAGGATGTTGCCCCTCGTTCCAAACTGACTCTGTCCGACGTCGCCGCGTCCGACGCGCGCGTGAGGATTGTTGGATTCCGTCATGATACTCCGCTGGCGCTTCCTGTGCCGAGCCTTTCATGGCCTGTCCCAGAAGTCCCGGCTGCTGACCTGTGAGATCCTCGGGGCGCCTGCGGCGTTCTCTCGAATGGTTCGGATTCTGCATTAATGCATCGCGGCGGCGTCGACGATGGCGCGCAGCATCACCTGCCTGTTCGCCATCGCTCGGGGCGTTGTCCATGGGCGCGCCCCCTCTGGTAGTCGCTGCGCGTTAGCACCCCCCCCCTCCCTTTCCCCCCCTTTCATGCGCGACGTCGAAATGACCGTTGAAGTGCGCGAGCTGGGCGTATTCCGTCGGTTGAGGGGAACTTTCAAACAGCGCCCCCCCCCCCCCCCCCCCCCGCAATTCAAAGTTCACAGTTTTTCGCAAGACCGCTCGGAGGCCCAAAATCGGAAGATCCGAAACCAACATTGAATTTGGTGGTGGTGGTGGTGGTGGGGGGCTTCAAACCATATGTTCTGCATGAGTGCTGCTTAATTGTTTCTGACACCTGGTGCTTGCGCAGATGTCACTGGAGCACTACATGCAGTTGAGTCGTTGATGCGCTTGGAGCAAGCTATGGGCAATGCCGACCGGTAGGCTGCTCTCGAGCTGGAGCCCCCCGAACGCAAAGTCGCGCCGCTGGCGGGGAAGTTCGCGCAGGCTGACAAGGAGGAACTGCTTCGAATCATCTTCCGCGGCGTGCCAAGGTGGAAAGACATCGCGGCCATGGGCGCTTTTTTGCATTTGGGCTGCTGGATGGGCCCGGCAGCGTCGCAAATGGCCATCTGGCAGACAGCCTGGGATAAGTTCAAGGCGCGCGCGGCGGCGTTGGCAGCTGCGGCCGCGCCCTTGAGCGCCAGTGCAGTTCTCTGCGCAGCACGAGGGCCATCGCCGCGCTGGGCTACATCGCGCTGCTGGCCCCGCCCCCTAGCGAGCTCCTGAAGGATGAGATGTACCAGCTGGTGCGGATCTGCAGACATGCTGGCGGCGCCTTTCGGCGTCTCGATCGCGCCTCCCTCTGCGACTGGGGTGGTCCCAGGTTGCTTTCGGCCTGGGCGCTTGCGCAAGCTGCGCTGATCAGATCCGCGCTCGTCACTCGCGGCAAGCAGCGCGCCTACCTCATCGGCAACCGCGCTGAAGCGGATAAGTTCATCCTCGACCGCCTTCTCAGAAAGCGCCAAGCCTGCTCCGAGTTCTCGTTCTGGGCCATCCAACCTGTCGCGCTCACTTTGTGCTAGGCATGCCCGGCCGAGCTCCACCGTGCTCCGCGCGTTGACATGCTGCCCGCGGCGCAGGAAGAAAAGGGCTTCACGGCGAGCAACCGCAAGCACGTTCATTGGGCGCTGGCATCGGCGAGCTCTGGGAGGTTCCGAACCGCGCCATCCAGCTCCAAGCATTGCTACTAGGTGGGGATCGGGCCGTTGACCTCGCGACGGCAATCTGGTGGACCACCCGGAAGCTGCTGAAGGCCATGTCGATGGCCCGGGCTCGTTCGTCACTTCGATCGTTCGCTGGCGGTGGGTGTCTTCTTGGAGGATTCCGCGCGCGGATGGCAAACGTCCGCGCATCTTAGGATGCGAAGAGTGTCGTGTTGCTATGCCTGATCTTCTGGTCTGCCCAAGGTTATTGCGGGTCCTGGCCGTGGCCCGTTTTGGTGGCGGGGTCTTCGTGGACGCCGACCCGCTGGTCAGGAAGGGCACCCTTCAACCGAACGTGGACTCGCTGGACCCCTCGCGACACGCCCACTTCCTCTACAACATCACTCGCCACAAGAACTGGTCGCCAATGGAGGCGGTCTTAGAAGCGGCGAAGGCAGCTATCAATATCGATGCCGTGGCTACTCCATCCCGGCGGTTCAGACCGAAGCCTGCTTAGGCGGCATTGGCAACGGCGTGGAGGTGGGTCTGGCGCGCCCTCTGCCCTCGGCCAAGACGCGGTGGCAGTCCACGGCGCCTTCGATAGCCTCCTGCTCGCGCGTGCGGGGCGCGCGCTTCCTATTTCGTCGTCCTCTTCCCCCATGTCTTCCACGTCCTGCTGCAGCTCCTCGGGCGGCAGCCTTGCCTTGGCATTATGAGAGGGGGTGTGGTTCCGTTGTTCTTGCTTGGCCGGCATTGCATTGGACGCAAGTCGAGGGCGACGGCAACTTCTTGGATGCCCCATGGGATGGGTAACCATCATCTGATGACGAGGAGGGGTTTCTTCGGCGCGCGCCCGCTCATCAGCTTTGCGATCGAGTTCCCGCGCGCCCATCGACATGGGGGCCTCTACCACCGGCCCCGACATGAGCAGCGCAGGCGGGAACTTGGGGAGATACTTTCGTCATGAGGACCTGGCTACCGCCTCTGTTATTTGACTGGCCCATCTGGCGCGGATTGCGGCAGGTTGATGCTATGGCATGTGCCGCATGCCAAAGGTTCACTACGATGCGATGGCTTCGACCCATGATTCGATTTCGCCCCTGGCCCCTGGTCGGTCGCGCCCCCCGACCAGCGCCGTGGAAGGGCCGCCAGAGAATAACTGCGCCTGGCGGGCTGGCGCCCCCCGGGCATCCTACGAGGGCGCCTTCGGCGACATCTTTCGAATCCCTGGCCAGCCGGAGACGAGAGGAGGCGCGATGCGACGAGAGTTCGTGCCCGCGAACATCTGCGCCAGAGAAAGTGGGCTCCCGTTCCGTTGCGCACGAGACCTTGCGAGCGATGCGATTTGTTGCCCGGCGGGCGGAGAGATCCCCGCCCCAGCAGCGGGCGCTGGCCCTTGGGGCGCATCTCTCCCCGCGTCCTCATGGGGATATTACTGCGGAGGAAGAGCTGTTTGCTCCGTTGCGCGCGACGGCCTCAGCGTGGACGGGGGCGGCCGCCTTTGCCCCGCTGCCGCCAACGCCGGGGGTACCAGGCGCGAGGAGGCGGGAGCTTGCGCGCCGTTTGAGGACGAGATCATGGGCGACAAGGCATGCGACTTCCACTCTGGGCATTGCGGACCACAAGCTTGGATGGGCCCCGCTAGAGCGGATGACGGCGACGCTCCTGGCCCCTCGGCTGGCCCATCTTCGGGATTTGGTGATTTCTCCGTGCCGGTGTGCCAGGATGACCAGGTCCCTGCTGTGGCTCGTGTAACTGCCAGTCAGCCAGTCCCAGATGATCGCTGCCCTGAGCTTCGCGATCGTATCGACAACAGAGAAGCGTAGGTGTTGTGAGATGACGATGACGCGCCGCAGTTCGACGGTTCTGGCGCCGCGACGGCAGGGGGGCTCAGCGACGCTTTCTCCCGCCCGGTTCGCTACTGCTGAAATTGCCAATGGCCCTCTGCCCGGTTCTAGATTTCCGCGGGGTGCTCGAGATGAGAGTCCGGATGCGGTACTTGGCGATGACGCCCTCGCTTTTGTCTCGACTAGCGCTGTGGCAGATGCTGCTGCATCTCCCGGCAGTCTTTCTGCAGGTGTTGCCGGTGCTCATCCTGAAATATTTCAGCTGCGGGCTCTTGCAAGACTTGCCGCAGATTCGCCACTTCAGCGGGTAGTGCAGGGGCTCGCGGCTGGCTTTCCCACGATATGGTAATATGATGTTCCTGGCCCCGTGCTCCTGTATTAGAGGGGGTGGTGCGCTCGCTATCTTGACGGAGCGCTGACGTATTATATCTTTGGTCTTTTCGACTATGGCTTGCCCTGGGGCACGCACTCGCGACCAGCTTTCGCGGAGGATAGGCGGCAAAGTTAGGTGCTTGCCGGCTGAGCCACGCGAACATGCTAGATCGCAGTTGACCAGAACCTGGCTTGGTAATGGACTAAACAGGAGGGCTTTGCTTCTGCTTTTGCTCAGGCTAGCATGGTGCCGCCTACGAGCCAGCAGTTCTTCGATGACTACGACGCGTTGCCGAGGGGGGGCGCGCTTCCTGTTGTCAGCCTGGCTAGGCACCAGGGGGGCCACCAACCGCAGATCGAGGGACAGGGCTGCTCTAGCAGAAACTCCACCACTTCTGGGGTTCATCTTGCAGGGCATGGCGGGCGTCGCCCCCCCTGTCCGGCCGACGCCGGCGTGGGCCGCGCGCGGGGCAAGGTCTGCGCCGGCGTGAACGCGGCGCGCGCGATTGCGAGTGGCAATATCCACCCCATATGCAAGACGCGCCATTTTACAGTCCGGACCGCCAGAGGCGACTCGATGCCCAGCTTTCTTCGCGTGGGCGGAGATGCCACGGCGGAAGTGATCCAGGTAACTACGCGGGGGAATTGTTGGGCCTGCCTTCCCAGATTCGAGCGGGGCCGAGCTTCCCCCGCCCCTTGTGCCGCTGCCTGACGGCCCTTCGCGCGCGATCGCCAATGCGTCTCCAGTTTCGCCATCGGTTGATGACGCATCTCTCTCGAAGCTGGCATTGAACAAGTGGGCGAGGAAGGCGGCGGGCTGATCGCGAGCGCGGTGCGGAGCTGCATTGGCGCGGCGCGCGCGCGCTCGGACGTGCGGGGCGAAGTGGAACTGGAGATGTGCCTGAACGTTCCAGAGACGGTAGTTCCCGTTCGGCGAGTGATGGGCAAGCCTCCCCCACGGGGTCACCCTCGCCCTGGGGCGCAACGCGCAGGGCAGGCGGCGGCGCGTCTAGAAGGACATGCAGAGCAATGGTTTTATGGCAGAAGAAGAAGAAGAAGTCTGGCAGGACATTGACGATTTGATTGGCTTGTGCGCCCCATTCATGGCTGTGCCCTTGGATCGGCCGCGCCTTATCCGTCCGTTCGAGCGTGCCCTGCCTCCGCCAGCATAGCCCCCCACTTCGCAATGGCATAGGGCATCGGACTTCCGCGACTCTGTCTGGGCAAGGACTGCGCAGATGCGCGGCAGGAGCGCGGCCGCTATGGGGGCGACGACGGGCGAGACCTGGAACAGAGCATCTGCGGGTCGTATGAAAACTTCGGCGGCGCGTCGCTTCATCATTGGGTCGCTGAGCATCCCCGACCCGACCTGGAGTGCGCCGTCGGCAGTTCGTCCTGTCGGCCACCTCGGACCCGATCGCAGGTCGGCGCCCGCGGACATCGACGCGGACGCGATGGGCGACGCGCGAGACCCGCGCGCGCTGATCGCCGACGCGGCGCCCTCGGACAGCGGCAGTGTTCTCGCGGCCAGCGTTGGGCGCCACCAGCGGGCAGTCGGACTTGCGCGTGCAACATGTCGGCGGGCTGGTTCATCGCAGGTGGAGTGCTTTCTCTGGGTGCAGCTCGCGCGTTCGCTTCGTGGTCTCAAGCGACGAGTCGGAGTTCAGGGTGGCGCCGACGTGCCTTGCTTGCCGCTGGAAGCGGCGGCGAACGTTGCTGAGCACTCTTGCGGCGATTGCAACGTCTTGCAGGCTAGTTTTTTCAAGTGTTCGGAGCAGTGGATCCCGAACGCACTCAACCAGGGCGAATCTCTCGGCGACGCGCAACTGTGGATGGCCTGGTGCACTGCGCTTGCGCGCGGGCAGCCTCGATAACCCTTCGTCGGCCACCTCTTCGACGCCATCGCGGGCGAGGACTGCCGTGGCCTCTAGCAGTTGCCCGCTCGAGAGTTGCGCGACGACGTCTCGGGGCCGGCAAGGACGAACGCGAGAAGTTGGCCAGAAGTTCCAGTGAGCTGGCACAGTGACGCGCCCTCCCACGTGCGCAACATGAAGCTCTCAGGGGATGGCGACCCCGCGCCAGGCGCAACCCTCGTCGTCGCGAGAACTTCGCGGCGGGGCGCGCGGTCGTGGGCCCCCGGGGGGGGGGGGGGGCAGAGGGGTTCCGGCCCCGCGCCCCCCGCAGCAGCTAAAACACGTCAGCCGCTCCGGCCAGCAAGTGGCGAGCGCGACGTCCGAGGTCGCCACGTCTCCTCGACTCCCCGGGCAAGGCAGCGCAGGAGCCGCCCAGAAACATCCAGCACATGACGTATTGTGAGGTCCGGGTGAAGCCGAACTTCCCGGAGCATTCCCTGTCTTCCCCGACGGCGGCCGCGATGGCAAAATTGAGGGCTTCGCCACCCTGCAGGGCTACATCGAGCATGGAAGCTTGGCACCTGGCAGTGACGAGCGGATGCACCGCGAACGAGCTCTTGCACAAGTACGCGGCAAGGTCCCTGGGACTACATCGAGCAGTACTCTCATTCCGCCAGCAGTGGGGCAGCCGCGCCTCCCGTGCCAGTTCCTCTCCAAGTTCCTCCTCTAGATCGCCAGGGCCAGAATAGCACCCCTCAGGCTTCTGCCGCAGAGGACCCCCGCTTTGGCTACAATGGTGCGGGCGTTTCTCGTGTTCCAGATCTTCAACAAGCTCCTCGTCAAGGCCTTCATGTCCAGCATCATGTCCACCAGACTTCTGCTGCAGAGTCTGCGCAGTACGACTACCACGGCGGGGACGCCTCCGACATGGGCGTCTCTCCCTTCGAGGTGCACTCCACGCTGAACATCAGCACTAACGGCCTTGCCGGGCATGTCGGCCTCGAGGCCACCAATGACGTGCACAAGTGCTACCCCGACCAGCTCATCCTCAATTTTACGGCCCCGCTGGGGGTCTGCCCCGCCGTAGCGGGTGCCGCTAGCCGTGCGTCGCGGGAAATCGATTTTTTTGGGGTCGATTGTTCCTTCTCCTTCTTCCTCCTCCTCCTCCTCCTGCTCCTCCTCCTCCTCCTCCTGTCTCCGCCTAGGGACCTATGAAGAGTGAGCTTGTAGGGAGGGTGCATTGCCACATCTTCGATACGTATTGAGTTTGCACATGTCCTCCTATTCCTCCTTCTCTTCCTCTTCTTCCTCCACCACTTCCTCCTCCTCCTCCCACCCCGCCGGCGAGGGACGAGGGCATCCCGAAGCTGTTCTTCGACCTCTACTCCAGGAGCTGCAGCGCGCAGCTTCCCGAGTGCGCCCAGCTGTCCTTGATGACCCTGGTGATGCTGTCCGCCCTGCGGCGGGGAGCAGGGGGGCCTCCTTCTTGTGCCCTCCCCTGCCCCCTGCCCTCCCTTCCCCGCCGCCCTCCCTCCTCGTTCTCCTCCACCTCCTCCCGATCCTCCTCCTCCTCCTCCTCCTCCTCCTCCTCCTCCTCCTCCTCCTCCTCCTTGGCAGGCCGCTGGGGCGATCGTTCGGGGAGTCAGAGTGGCGAGGATCACGCTCCCCGCGCGCGCCCGCGCTCCCGCGGCACAGCAACAAGAACTGGTGGATGAGAGATCGGAAGAGCCACCTGACCCCGCCTCCTCCTCCTCCTCCTCCTCCTGCTCCTGCTCCTGCGCCGCCGTGCGCATCTTCAGCAGGCGCGCCCACGGGCTGGGGCTACTTGTGGGAGCTGAACTCTCATGTGCGTCGGTCTCCTCCTGTTCCTCCTCCTGTTCTTCCTCCGTCTCCTCCTTCTCCTCCTCCCTTTCCTCCATCCTCCCTTCCCCCTCCCTTGTCGTTGACATCATTCTTAGTATGTTGTTACCTTTTGCGGCGTATGAGGCAAGGTCGACACCTACAGTGGCACTTCAGCTTCCGCCTCCGACTCCAGACCCACGGAAAAGTATACAGCTTCTTCCGGCAATTCTGCCAGAGGAGACCTCGAGCCATTCGCGAAGGCAAAGGGGGCAAGGACATGGGTGCCCTTTCCAGTGGCAAAGGCTCCGCTTCGCGCCGCAATCCGCGTACCTGAGGCCTGACATCCCTTCGGGGGGCTGGGTGCTTCGGAAGTGCGCAGGCGTGGTCAGCGCGGTATTTTGACCGAGTGTGGGCCACGCTCAACAGGCAAGTTTCGTCGCCTTCGTAGGTGAAGCCACCTCGGAGATCGCTCCCTGGGCAGTTGCACGTTCTTTCACGAGTGGAGTGATGAAGACACAGCGTGTTGTTGCCCTCGGATCTGGTCTCCATGAGCTAGAAGGACTAAAAGTCCTTTGGGGCAGTCGTGGGCGCCTCTTGGGCCATCTTGGAGTCCTCTTGGGCCGTCTGGGAGCTCTCTCGGGGGCATATTGAGCCATGTTGGGGGGGTCTTGGTGGCCCCTTGGACCATCCTGGGGCGTCGGAAGCTCGAAAAGGCGAGAGCCCAAACAACCTGGGAAAGTGAGGAACATCAATGTGTTTTGTTTCCCGGGGCTCTCTAAGGAGCCTCTTGGGGGCCTCTTTTGGCCTTCTTCGGGCGGAAGGCTCGAATTGTCGGTTCGTGTTCACCCTCTATGGCCCTTCTTGGGGCCGTCTTGGGGCCCTCTTGGGCCCTCTAGGGCGCTTTCTGAGCCGTCTTGGAGCACTCTTGGGCCGTATTGGGGCCCTCTTGGTGGCCTCTTGGGTCGTCTTGGGACGTCGGACGCTCTTGGGAAGGGTATTGGGGCTTTTGGGACGCCTCGACTGCCTCGTGGGCCGCCTTGAAGCCATCCTGGGCCGTCTTGAGACCAACGTGGCCCGCCTTGGAGCGATACTGGGTTGTCTTTGAGGCATCTGGGCCTCGGGAGCGCAAATCTGTTAAATTGTTCGAAGGTTTCTGGCCTCGGGAACAGGGAGCGGTGCGCGCAACGAAGTGCAATCGGGAGAGGGGGGGGGTCTTTAGAAGATTACAGAAACCATCAGAAATCCAAACAGACAGACCTCTGGCATCCTCCAACGCCTCAACGTGCACTAGGCACGGTGGTGGATGACGGGAAGCGCCTCCGGCGTGGACCGTTTATATTATGGCAGGTTGAATTTTCTCTAAGTAAGGGCTGCGGGCCGCACCGTGGAACACGATGGCGGATGACGGGAAGCGTCTTGGAGGAACGAGAAGCGAACTGGACGTTCTGGACGAGATGCGAGCTGGACGTTCGGGATGACACGATCCGTTTTGTTGATGGTTGGCGGATCCTTTTTCTTAAGCATTTCGCCCGAGACATCCTCACGCAAATGAGATGTTCACAGCGTCGTCGTGTGTAAAACATGCGCTTCGTTGGACACATCCTCGAACAACTGGAAGTCGCGAAATTTGACTATTCGAACATCGACGTTTCGCTTGAGACATCTACGACAAAGTTATGATGTCCACAGAGCTGAGTTACTGCCCCCTGTGTTGAAAACAACGCTCTCGCTCGAGACATCCTCAGAACATGAGCACCAGCACGGCCGACCAACAAAGCTGTATGTTTCGATGGCATGTCTTAGCTGTTCTTTTCCTCAGAGGTATCAAGGATCTCTGTTTCTCGAGGATTCGGAGGAATGCTGGCAGGAGTTTCGCGGTCATTTCCAAAGCGATTTGGCACACTAGTGTACACCTAGGGGGCTTCGACGGTCATCTCAACGGCGTAGAACCTTGTAGCTCTTTCAAATAGTGTTTGGGTGTTTTTTTCATTGTTATTTCAACCGCATAGGACTTTATAGCTGCTTCAGATACTATTTCAATGCCCGATTCGCTCGGGACATCTTCACAACATTGGTATTGTTTTTGAAGTGTCAGAAAATGACAAAACAAGGGCCCCAAAAAGACACCAGGATGGCTCCTGAGGACTCCCGGAAATGACGATTTCGCAGGGGACATCCTCCAGAAAATAATAAAAATAAGGTTAATAATAATAAGATCGCATCGTTTATAATATACATCGTTTCTGACATCGTCTTGGCATCACCCTCGACATGCCCATGACGACCCAAATTTGCCTTCCGAAAATGGCGATTTCGCTAAGGACATCCTCAAACAGCCGATGTTTGTAAGATCGTATTGGTTCCGTTGTTGAAGGCATGACGGCGGCCCAAACCCCAAGAGCGCCCATCAAGACGAACGAACAGTGCGATGCTGCTTGGGACATCCAGATTGAACTACGAAATTACCTGCATCGACTTATTAAAAAAAGGAACAAGCGTTTCGCTTGAGATATCCTCCCAAGGTTGGGATGTCGGAGGGGTTCCTGGATCAAATTCCCCCCTGCGAAATGCATAATTTTATTGTCCTTCCCTTCTCTCCGCTTCGCGCTCATTCTCTTCCTCTCTGTATCTCTCCCTCTTCCTCTCTCTCCCCCTCTCTCTCTCTCTCTCTTTTTTCCGTCTCCCTCCGTCCCTACTTCTCGGGCTGGGCGACGAATGCGGCGACCATAGTAGTTCGCCAGGTCGTCTCGGATTCGATGCTTCGGTGAAGCTTTCTGGCGTGACCCCAGTCCCAGTGCAGTGCTGATGGCGGTTGGGTGGAGGGGATGCAACACATTTGTTGTGCTTTTGTTGCTGTTCCCCTTCCCACACCACCCAACACACACACACACACGGACGACCGCGACGACGACTACGACGAAAGCCAGACATTTCCACAGGCCCCTCACAGGAACCCTTGAGTCTTTACTGCAGGGGTCCTCACCGAGGGGCCCTTTCTGAAGGCACCATCACTCATAAGGCCTTACTAAACGCACCCGAAATCCTCACCAAGACCAGCTACTAAAGAAAGCTTGCTGAGCCCACGACCCGGACCTGCATCTCCTGCGCAGCAAGTGCAAGGATGGGTGCCCACCCCTCGACTCGCAGGGCGGCGCCTTGAAGCTGGAACAAAGGAAGCACGAAGCGTGAAGCCTTCGCACAGGTCCTCGCTGAGGGGGGGCCCTTGTTAGAGGCACCCTCACTGAAGGGTCCTCAACGAAGAATCTCTCGATGAAGGCCCCGTACGAAAGGCATCCACGCCAAGAGCTCCTCATTGAAGGGGTCCTCACGAAGGATCCCTTGACGAAGGTCCCCCATGATTGACGAACGCGTGCTAAAGGCATCTCCAATGAGGACCCCCCGAAAAGTGATCTTTTTAAGGTGCCTCGATACAAAGGCATCCTTTCGAATGGTGGATTATTGAAGACATGTGTATTGAGCATTTTCCATTCAAGGCAGGCTCACTGACAATCCCTTGCGGTTGGACCCATGTCGCGACCTAGGTCTTGTCGTCGAGCAGAAACCGCACCCGTTCCGGCAGTCCCAGTCCAGTGGTGGTGGTGGTGGCCATGGTGGAAGAACGAATGGTCACACATTTTGTTAATCGTCTGTTTCATGTGTCCCAACCCTCCTATGTTGGGTTTTCCTTTTGAATTGAGCTCTGTGATCTACACCTCCTCCTCCCGCCTCCATCTGTCTCCCTGACTCCCTCCTGCCTGGAATTGGCGCCACTTTCGTAGGCTGCTGGGAGGCCTAGCGGTGCCAGGGAGCACGCGGGTACAGACGGGACTTCGTTGCTCTCTGGGTGGTTGCGCACTGCGCAACTGGCGCCACTTGTGTGGGTTCCTGGGAGGTCCGGCGGAGTCGGGGAGCACACGGGTCCAGACGGGACCTCTTTGTTTCCCTGGGTTCCTGCGAACTGCGCAACTGTCGCCACGTTCGTGGGCGGCTCTTGGGAGGCAGTGCGGAGTCGGGAAACACGCGGATCAGACAGGACCGCGCAGCCCCTGGGGGCTTGCGAACTACGCAGCTGGCGCCACTTTCCCGGGCACCCGGGAGGTCCAGCGCAGTTGGGGAGTACGCGGGTCCAGAGTGGACCTCGCTGCTTTCTGGGTGGCTGCGAGCTGCACAGCTGGCGCCACTTTCGGGGGCTCCTGGGAGGTCCAGCGGGGTCGGGGAGTACGCGGACCCAGACAGGACCTCGCTATTCCCTGGGTGGCTGTGAACTGCGCCTCTGGCACCACTTCCGTGAGCAACTGGGAGGTCCAGCGGGTTCGGGGCCCACGCGCACCCAGACGGGACCTTGCTATTCCCTCGGTGGCTGCAAACTGCGCAGGTGAGGCTAGTTTCGTGGGCTCCTTGGAGGCACGGCGGAGTAGGGGAGTACGCGCACACAGCCAAGACTTCGTTGCTGCCTGGGAGAGCGCGAACGGCGCAGCTCTCGCCACTTTCGGGGGCTCCTGGGAGGTCCAGCGGAGTCGGGGCCCACGCGCACCCAGACTGGACCTCGCTGCTCCCTGGGCGCTCGCGAACTGCGCAGCTGACGCTGCTTTTGTGGGCTCTTCGGAGGCACGGGGGAGT